GGTAGCATTTATTTTAATGGTATAATCAAAGAGTAATTATCTTTTAGTCCTGAGAAGAGTTTGCTTAGTAAGGTAAGGGTGACTCAACATTAAGAAATGCCTTAACTCACTTCATTAACTAGTCAAAGGAGGAAACTGATACGCTCATCTAAATAGATTTTTCTTTAACAGAATTCAACATTTTAAAAACTTCATTAAGGAAACTTTCAACCACACAAATATGAAGAGAGGATAGTATAACAAACCCTGTGTGTTAGTCAACTTCAATAATTACTGACATTTGCTGCTTTTTAACATTTATGTTTTAGTAACACTTTTGGTTCCCCTCAGGCTCTTGCCTTTCTCCGCAAACAGCAGCGTATATGGTATGAATGATCATGCCCACCACTACACACTCCAACATTTAGCAAGGGAGTGAAAGCCATTCCCATTAATTTAGAATTTTTTTGCACAGAGAGGTGAGAGATTGTTAGTAAACTTCTCTAGGAATAGCATGTATTTCTGTACCCTTAGTTATCAAATCTTTAAATGATTTACAATGTCAAAATTATAGTTCAGTAAACATGAATACAGTCTTAATAATATTCTCTTCTAATTTAGTCTGATAAAAGACTTTCATGTTCGGCCTGGCGTGGTGGCTCACGCCTATAATCCCAGCACTTTGGGAGGCCAAGGCAGGCGGATCACTGGAGGTCAGGAGTTCGAGACCAGCCTGACCAACATGGAGAAACCTCATCTCTACTAAAAATACAAAATTAGCAGGGTGTGGCAGCGAGCGCCTATAATCCCAGCTATTCAGGAGGTGAAGGCAGGAGAATAACTTGAACCCGGGAGGCAGAGGTTGCGGTGAGCCAAGATTGCACCGCTGCACTCCAGCCTGGGCAAGAAGAGCGAAACTCCGTCTCAAAAAAAGAAGAAAAAAAGATTTTTATGTTCAAAAAAAGATAATGTTTTAATATATCTAATCTTTTTAGCAATCATCAAAAAGGTCTAAGTCCATCAATAAGTGAATGGATAAACAAATAGTTACATATTGTTACATATCAATATGGCCCGGTGTGGTGGCTCATACAAAACAATTATGCTACTGAAGGAAACCAGACCAAAAAAAAAAAATAGATGTTGTATGGTTCCTTTTATATAAACTTCAAGAAAATGCAAATTAATGGATATAGAGAGAAAGCAAGTCAGTGAGCACCCGAGCACCCAAAGCAGAGGCAATAAAAGAGAGATTCTCAAGAGGCAGGATTTTGAGAAAACTTTTGAGGGTGATAATGTGTTCACCATCTTGGTTGTGGTGATGGCTTCTCAGGTATACATGTCAAAACTTACCAAATTATACACTTTAAACATGCACAGTTTATTGGATGTCTGTTAGACCCCAATAAAGACGTTTTTAAAAATGTATATGATTCCAGAGCTCTCCAGTCTCAAAATTTTTTTTAAAAAAGTATAAGAACAGGCCAGGAGTGGTGGCTCATGCTTGTAATCCCAGCACTTTGGGAGGTCAAGGCAGGCAGATCACCTGTCAGGAGTTCGAGCTCAGCCTGATCCCCATATCTAATAAAAATATAAAAATTAGCCAGGCATGGTGGCAGGCGCCTGGAATGCTAGCCACTTGGGAGGCTGAGGCAGGAGAATTGCTTGAACCCGGGAGGTGGAGGTTGCAGTGAGCCGAGATCGCGCCATTGCACTCTAGCCTGCCTGGATGACGAGTGAAATGCTGTCTCAAAAAAAAAAAAAAAATGTGTAAAAACAGACTTTGATAGATTTTCCCTTTCGCTTCTAATGGCTCTATTTGGTTCTAAGCAATCTTTTGATGTTCTCTAGTGTTAGCTCACTCAGTCATTAAAGTTCTTCCAGATATTTACAAAGAGATAGATGCGTATAAACAAATAAAATACGCTAGCTTATGACATAGGACTAGAGGGTTAAAATTTGTAAAATTTTTTAAATGTTAATAAGTTAGCATAACTTATTTTATACCATGCAAATAGTGAAGGAAAGCCTGCTTACCTTGAAATGTTATCTTCCAGAAACCTCCAATGTACAGCATGTATATCAGCAAAACACTAACAGTCTTCTCACTAAAGAACATCTTGAAGAAGACAAAGATGCCTAGTACTATTGCTACTTTTCAATATTTACTCACCTTCCTAGCCAATGAAATAAGACCAGGGTAAGAACAGATACCTTAAAAAGGTACGGGCAGCAAAGAGACTAGTGTGATTATTTATAGACGGTATGATCATCTAATTAAAGAATCAACAGAAAAATTACTGGTAGTATAAGAGAATTCATTATAGTATTCCTAGCCTTTCTATATGCCAAAATATCTATTTAAAAAATACAGTTGGGTGGCAGGGAAAGATGTCATTTATGACAGCAGCAAAAATTGGTCTACAAAATATTCAGGAGTAAACCTATCCAAAATCTGCAAGACCTGTTTGAAGAGACCCTTACCTCCCACGTAAGAGAGGATTTCAGTGAATAGATATTTCATGGACTGACTGGGAAGACCCAGCATGGCCAAGATGTTGAAACACGACTTCCCTGAGACCTTGGGACAGCACCATGTCACAGTCCTTCCTACTTTTGGAAATTAATTAGGATATGGTTTTCTTTTATTCTTGAGACAGAGTCTCGCTGTCGCCCAGGCTGAAGTGCAGAGGCACAATCACTGCTCACTGTAACCTCCGCCTCCCGGGTTCAAGTGATTCTCTTGCCTCGGCCTTTTGAGTAGCTGGGATTACAGGCACGCACCACCACACCCAGCTAAATGTTTTTTGTATTTTTGGTAGAGACAGGGTTTTACCATGTTGGCCAGGCTGGTCTCAAACTCCTGACCTCAAGTGATCTGCCTACCTCAGCCTCCCAAGGGATATGTTTTTTTAATGGGGCAAGTTGCATCAATATCTCGTAGGAAATAATAGTTACTGGGAGCATCTTTTGTTCAAAACATCTTGGTTTGGAGATTGTGCTGGCTTCTCCCGCAGCCTCAGTGTCCTGAATGGAGTGAATGAAATGGAACCATGGCTAGGCTGTCTCCTCCACAGGTGAGGTGAAGAGGTGATGCCTGGAGTCACCTGAGCCCAGAGTTTCTGCCTTCGAAGCCATCTCCCTGTGGTGCCCATAAAGCATGGCTGTGGCTGACCACGTATCTGCCTCCGCCTTCTAGCTAAGTGAGCCGTACCAGTTCAGTAACCCCAGCAGAGCACTGTGGGCAGTCTCTGGATGTTGGGAGCATTGTTTTCACAGTGGATGAAAGAGCAGTAAAGCCCTCTGATGGGTCTTTCTTGTGGTCCTGCGAAGCACAAGGTCAGGAATTCGAGACCAGCCTCACCAACATGGTGAAACCTATCTCTACTAAAAATACAAAAATTAGCTGGTCGTGGTGACAGGTGCCTGTAATTCCAGCTACTTGGGAGGCTGAGGCAGGAGAATCGTTTGAACCCAGGAGGCAGAGGTTGCAGTGAGTCAAGATCGCACCACTGCACTCCAGCCTGGGTGACAGGACGAGACTCTGTCTCAAAAAAAAAAAAAAAAAAAAAATTAGAACAAAGTCCAGTAGTATAGAGGATTAGAAAATAATCAATAGGAACAGACAAATCTAATGTTGAAGTAGAATAATAGATCCAGAAATTAATTCCAAAGTTCTATTTATGGTTCTTTAATGTGTCCTTGATATTAGCTTGCAATTAGCTCCATCAAGTGATAGTATCTAGCGTCAAATGGGCTTAGCAGCGTTTTGCTTCTCATGCTGCTTTTATGTCTCTCGTCTTCCACATTCTTGGAGTCCCCAACAACAGGGCAGAGGCTGAAAGGCACAGATGTTTTGTGTCCTATGGCTTGGCTTCCATTGAGGTAGGCGAGGGTGACCTACCCTGGGATGGATGACAAGACAGGTCTGGGCAGGCCACAGTCTGGCTCTCCCTCCTGGCTTCCTGGGGATAATTGAGCAATTACTCTGTACCAGGCGGGGTTCTGAGTGCTTCCACTCCCCAATTTGGGTCACTTCTGCAAGGTGACACAGCTAGGAAAGATGTGACTCTAGCCACTCTGGCCTCCAGGACTGCCCTCCTCTTCTGACCGCTCCTCAGCCTGCATTAGCTGGGCCGCCCTTCCCATGTTGACCTCCTGTAACTGCGTGTTGGCCTCACGGGCAGCGTCATGAAGCTACCACCATCCCTGTTCCCCTTTGGTTCAGGCCACAGGGACGCCTGGAGCTGGGAACGGCCTTGCTAGCACTGACTGCGGAGTCTTCAGTGCATGTACGTCTGTCTCCCTAACTGAACTGTGAGCGCCTAAGGCGGGGCTTTCCATCTGCTAGTTTATCTCTGGAATGCATCTTTATGCTTGGCAGAGGATGGGCATTACATGTTGGATACGCTAATTGATCCTAAGATTCTAACCACTAAATTTTACCAGAATTGGCAAAAATGACCTGAATATAGTCGCATTGCATCTTTTCAATGATCCAAACAGCTGACCCCCTGGGCTGACGCCTTCATAACGCTGCAACCCCCTCCCGCTTTGTTCCTCTCCCTGTTGCAGCCGATGGGATCAGAGAGGATGGAGATGCGGAAGCGGCAGGTGCCCGCCGCTCCGGACGCCCCAGGCGCTGCCCCAGGCCAGCCGGGAGTGGGAAGCCGCGGGTCCAACGCATGCTGCTTCTGCTGGTGCTGCTGCTGTAGCTGCTCGTGGTAAGGTTTGGGGCTTTTTAATTAATGTGCTCCTGACTGGGAAGTGGCACCCCTGAATAGTGGCAGCCTATGGTTAATCCGGTAAGTGTTTTTTAAGCAACTACCATATGCCTGACACGGAGGGACACCCCAGAAATAGCAAGTGGCTACATCTGTCTAGCTCTCAAGGGGCTTATGCTCAGATCCCTCAGATCAGGCCAATGTGTGTTAAACAACTAAAGAACAAGCTGAGGCAGTTCACGATTATCAATATTTGGGCAGAAATGGTTAGAAAGAAGTGAACTCGGGCACTCCTGGGGCTATGAAGGTTAGGATCTAAGATAGGCCTTAAAGGTTGGGGCCGTGAAGTAGAGGGAGCCTGGATTGTTGCTTCCATTTCATCAATTTTGTTTTGCAATAAATAGAAATGTCAAAAGATGTGCGTTAGAGACAAATATTAAAATATATGCTAACTTACCAGGTAGAGAAAGACACACAGTCATTGCTTTAAAAGGAAAGAAACAACTTGAAGACCCTCTGAGTAGTCTGGAGGAAAGGAGGTAATTTGCACCTTAAAGCATGCGAACCTTAGGTTACAGCTTTGAAATTTTAGATCTGAAGAGTGCTTAGTGACAGCCAAATTTGTGCACCACTTTTGCAATCAAATTATCCTAAATTTATGGAGGGTTGGCAGTAAGTTAGATCAATGTCTGGTGGGAAAGAAGAAAAACTGCTATTGGACCAATCATGAACCGTGATATGGAACTAACAGAGCCGATCGCTGGGGAGGAGATTGGAGGTTGAAAGTGAAGTGCCCGAAGTTCGGTGGCTCCTGCCCAACTCAGGCTGGTATTAATTTCCAAGAAGTTTCAATCTGGAAGGGACGCAGCCGTCGAACATTCACCAATGAGATCCTGATACCGATGGTCTCTTCGTTCCCACAGCCAGAGGAAACGTGGCATGGGGCTGACAAGAGCTAGGCAGTGTCAAGGTGAGACTTCAGCCCCCAGTAGGAATCTGTGCAGCTCTGCAGGAAACCAGACGAGAGGCCCAGGTGGTGGGCAGAGGAAATGCTTGGGTGTCCATGGCTGCCCTAGAGGAGGAAGACACCAGTGGTGGCCAGACTTTGTTTAGGGGCCTTCATTCTCACTCTGCAAGTAGGTCTCAGTGCGGAAATGGGACGGTCCCCAGAGAGATGTGCAGGACATCGGGGTGCAGGTGAGACTCCAGCCAACGTTCACTCCTGCCCCTCCCTCCTTTCTCTGCCGCCTCCCTCAGGGCATGGTAGGCTGCCCAGGTGCTGACCGGAACAAACATATTGTCCTAACAGTGTAAGGCTAGCGGGCTGGGCAGGTCCCAGAGCAGGCTCCTCCTGTGGGTACAAAATGGAGCAAATAAAATAAGCATCTGTACCTAGACGCTATCATAACCATCACAGCCAACACTTCTGTAGCACTTTGGTGTATAGAAGAAACAATAGAGCAATGTCTTCAAAGTACTGGAGAAAAGTAACTGAAAACTTGGTCAAACTATAATTCAAGAATGTGGGCAAAAAAAGACATTTTCAGGCATACAAAAACCAGCCGAGTTTATTGCCTGCAAACCTAAAAGAACCTAAGAAAGGGCCTACTTCAGTGGGAAAAAAGTGAGCCCAGAGGAAAGATCCAGGAAACAAATAATGACGGTAGATACAAAGGGGTCAGACATCGATATAAAATGTGGCAATTACTTTTGTGTTAAAAAGTGTGAAACCATAGCTGCAAACAATCTCCTGTCAACAATGGACAAATCGAGTAATTCAGACTTTCTTAGAAAAAATTATTTTAAAAAAATTTTATTTCAAAAGAAATGGCATTCATAATTAGTCCAAAAATACACCATATAGTTTTAACATCAGTGGAAGACAATACATCTAGAAAACCTACCAACATGTGACAAAAGTGGCATCAGCAAAGGGGAAAATAAACTATTCAGTAAATAGAAGGATACTTGGGATTTGGATACCAACTCAGCCTCATTGCCGAGTTTTAGCATTGAAAAGTCCCACAGCCAAGAAAACCTAAAAACCCCAAGCAAACCAGGAAGATTGTTCTTCCTACTTGGTATCCAAATATATAAAAATATATTTCTATTCCCACATTGCACCGTATACAAAAATCAATTCCCACCTTTAAAAAAAGATCAACTCCAAATGGCTTAAAGGCAAAGAAGAAAATACAAGATAATGTTTTTATCATGTTGGTGTTGGTAAGAATTATTTTTAAAAAGAAAAAGCAAATTCAGGCTGGGCGCGGTGGCTCACGCCTGTAATCCCAGCACTTTGGGAGGCCGAGGTGGGCGGATCACAAGGTCAAGAGATCGAGACCATCCTGGCCAACATGGTGAAACCCCATCTCTACTAAAAATACAAAAAAATAGCCGGGCATGGTGGCACGTGCCTGTGGTCCCAGCTGCTCGGGAAGCTGAGACGGAAGAATCGCTTAAACCCGGGATGCGGAAGTTGCAGTGAGCCGAGTTTGCGCCACTGCACTCCCGCCTGGCAAGAGAGCTAGACTCCATCTCAAAAAAAAAAGAAAAAGAAAAAGAAAATTCTATAAAAGGAAACGATTCATAAATTTGTCTACATTAAAACATTAAGATGTGTTTAACAATACAAAGAAAAACATGTTCACATAAAGACTCATAGATGAATGTTTATAGCAGCGTAATTCATAATAGTGAAAAAGCGGGAAAAAAATTCCTGTCAACTAATGAACGAATATATAAAATATGGTATTCCATACAGTGGAATATTATTTGGCTATAAAAAGAATGAAGTGGCTGGGTACAGTAGCTCACACTTGTAATCCCAGCATTTTGGGAGGCCAAGGCAGGTGGATCACCTAAAGTCAGGAGTTCGAGACCAGCCTGGCCAACATGGTGAAACGCTGTCTGTACTAAAAAGAAAAATGCAAAAAATCAGCCAGGCATAGTGGTGTGTGCCTGTAATCCCAGCTACTTGGGAGACTGAGACAGGAGAATCACTTGAACCCAGGAGGCAGAGGCTGCAATGAGCTGAGATCACATGATCATTGCACTCCAACCTGGGCACCAAGAGCGAAACTCTGTCTCACCAAAAAAAAAAAAAAAAAGGAATGAAGTCTTGACACCACCAAAATATAGCATGAATTGTGAAAACATTATGCTAAGTGAAAGAAGCTAGACACAAAAGACCACACATTTTATTATTACACTTACATGAAATGTCCAGAATAGGTGAATCCATAGAGATAGAAAGTAGATGAGCAGTTGCCTAGGAATAAGGAAAATGGAGTTACTGCTAATGTGTACAGAGTTCCTTTTTGGGATGATGAAATGTTCTAAATCATGGCAATATTTATATTATTCTGTAAATATACTAAAAGCCACAGAATTATACGATTCAATTTGGCAACTTGTATAGTGTGCAAATTATATCTTTTTTTTTCTTTTTTCTTTTCTCTTTTGAGATGGAGTCTCACTCCGTAGCCCAGGCTGGAGTGTAGTGGTGCGATCTTGGCTCACTGCAACCTCCACCTCTTGGGTTCAAGCGATTCTCATGCCTCAGCCACCCAAGTAGTTGAGATGACAGGCTCGTACCACCATGCCCAGCTTATTTTTTGTATTTGGAGTAGAGACAGCATTTCACCATGTTGACCAGGCTGGTCTCGAACTCCTGACCTCAGGTGATCTGCCTGCCTAATTCTCCCAAAGTGCTAGGATTACAGGCGTGAGGCACCGTGCCCCGCCAAATTAATAAAGCTATTTTAAAAATATATTTAACAAAAGGTATGAAAAATAAAATGAAAAGAGAAAACAGAGAAGATAGTTACAATGCAATTAACAAATAATTCATATCCAGAATAAAGAACATTAAAATACATTAATAAAAAAAATAACAACCAAAAGAGTAAGCAGATGAAATGGAACAGAAAATAATCTGCTTGTACTCCTACTAACAAGGATCAGATAAATGAAAGTTAAATATACACTCATTTAAAACCTATACCCTGGCTGATCACCTGAGCCCAGGAGCTCAAGACCAGCCTGGGCAACATGGTGAAACCCAGTCTTTACAAAAAGCACAAAAATTAGCCAGGCATGGTGGTGCACCCCTGTAGTCTGAGCTACTCTGGAGGCTGAGGTGGGAGGATCACTTGAGCCCCAGGAAGTTGAGGCTGTAGTGAATTATGATTGCATCACTGCACTCCAGCATGTGGGACAGAGTGAGACCCTGTCTCAAAAACAAAAAAAAAAAAAAAAAGGAAAGAAAAACCTATACCCTGGAAAAACCTCTCACACCCCTGCAAAAGGAGACATATATGAGAGAATTCACTACAGCATTCATCTGTGTGAGAAAAATTGAAAATGGTTCTAAAGGACATAAACAGCAGAATGAATGAATATATTGTGATATAATTACACGATGCACTACTATACAGCATTTAAATTCATATACTAGAAAAGGTAAGGTGAACAAATCAACAGGTTAGGCATAGCGGCTCACGCCTATAAACCCAGCACTTTGGGAGGCCAAGGCAGAAAGATTGCTTGAGCCCGGTACTTTGAGACCAGCCAGGGCAACATAGCAAGACCCTGCATCCACCAAAAAAAAAAAAAAAAAATATATATATATATATGTATTTAGCTAGGCATGGTGGCATGTGCCCGTAGTCCCAGCTCCTCTAGAAGCTGAGGCGGAAGGATCACTGGAACCCAGGAGTTCAAGGCAGCAGTGGGCTGTGATCATGCCACTGCACTCCAGCCTGGCCAACAAAGTGAGACCTTGTCTCAGACATAAATAAATTCATATGCTAGAGGAAAAAAAAACCAAATTATAAAACAATACTATTACATAAGTAGTTATACGATGTTTAAAAATATGATCATGAATATAATATAGTAGCATAACTATGCACTGAAAAACGTAAAGAGAGAAACGAGGTGCACAGCAAACTTCAGCTGTTTGAATAGTGAATTTCCTTGCTTTCTTTTGCCACACTTTTGAGATCTATCCATATTAATATACATAGTCAAGGCAGTTTTCAAGAAAGATAAGTGGCAATATGTTTTCTAAGTACTTGTGAATCTTTCTCGACATGCTGCTGTAAAACCCTCTTGTAATATTTGGTGTTATAAGGGAAGGCATGCTGATTCTTGTTCTCTTGAATATAAAGTTGTTTTTCCTTTCTAGAAAGTTTTCTCTTTATCACTCAAAATTTTTCCAAACTATATCTGGCCATAGGTCTTTTTCTTCTTCTTTTTTTTTTTATTTTTTTATTTTTTTTTTATTTTGAGACGGAGTCTTGCTTTGTCACCAGGCTGGAGTGCAATGGCGCGATCTCGGCTCACCGCAACCTCCGCCTCCTGGGTTCAAGCAATTCTCCTGCCTCAGCCTCCTGAGTAGCTGGGATTACAGGCACACGCCACCACGCCCGGCTAATTTTTTTGTATTTTTAGTAGAGATGGGGTTTCAACTTGTTGGCCAGGATGGTCTCGATCTCCTGACCTCGTGATCCGCCCACCTCGGCCTCCCAAAGTGCTGGGATTACAGGCGTGAGCCACCGCGCCGGGCGCCATGGGTCTTCTTTTGCTGAATAGTCCTAAAACACGGTGAGCAGCTATTGGGACTGCTATAGACGTTCTCTAGTTCTGCTGTAACAATAACACTGGAGCGCGGTAAAGAAAACACAAAAAACATATTCTTCTCTTTTTCAAAAACACATTGTCTCTTTAAAAAAACATTCTTACTTGGAATGAGGCCAAAATGTCAAAGCTTAAATCATTTTGCATTATTTGGTTTGCGGTACAGCTTTTGGTTCTCTGAGGAATCTCCTGTCAAATTCATCTCTTTTTTTCCTCTTTGCTTCTGCATACCCACTGTGCAGTATGTGTTCTGCTTACAAAAGAAGCCTCGGAAGTCATGCGGAGACAGTACCACCCGGATGCCTCTCAAGTTTTTTTTCTGTTGGATTTTTTTTTTAAAGAAGCCATTATTGACTGAAACTTTTTAGCCCTGGCCTCATGAAAGAAGTCAAAAGGGTTCCTGCATTTCTAATGATTTTGTCTTTAAAGAAAAATAAAGACGCCCCCTGCACACACACACACTGAAAACTTAGAAAAACAGATGTGCTGAAAACAGGCTGGAAAACTTTTATGAAACAAAGAATGTTAAGAAAAGATAAAAGGAATAGAAAATACAGCAGCAACAAGATAAAGAAAACTCAAATTGTCAGTGATAAAAATCCATTTTTAAGTTGATGGGATGCTGAAAGCATTCCTGCTAAAATCAAGAATAAGGCAAAATGTCCACAATCTCTACTAGTATTTAACAGTGTATTTTAGGCGTTAGCTAATTAGACAAGGAAAATAATTGGAGGCCTAAGAATTGGAAATAAAGAGGTAAAATTCTCCCTATTTGCAGATGAAACCCCAAGAGAATTCTAGCTATAACCGATACAAACACAAAAGAATTCAGAAATAAGGATATAAAATTAACTTTAAAATAATAGTCTTTAGGCCTCAGATCTAAAATAAAGAACCCTCCCATTTCAATAACAAAATACAAATAAATCAGTTTAGAAATAGTCAAAAGATCTGAATACACTTCCCTCCAAAGAAGATGTACAAATAGCTAGTAAATACATGAAAAGGAGTTCCGTGTCAGTGGTCACTAGCAAAATGCAAATCAAACCCACAATGAAAATACCACTTCACACCCACTTGTAAAGCTAGAATAAAAAAGACAAGAGTAACTGTTGGCAAGGACATGGAGAAATTGGATCCCTCAGATATCACCATGTGAAATGGTGCAATTGCTTTGTAAAACTGTTTAGGAGTTCTTCAAAATGTTCAAACTCAAGTTACCATATGACTCAGCAGTTCTACTGCGAGGTTTCTACTTAAGAGAAAAACAAATATATGTTTGCACGTACTTGCACAGGAAAGTGCATAGCAGCATGATTCATGCAGCCAAAATGTGGAAACAACCCAAATGTCTATTTGCTGATGAACAGATAAACAAAATGCCATGTGTCTATCTAAACAATAAGATATTATTCAACTGGAAAAAGAAATGAAGTACCGATACATGCTAGGGCATGGGTTGAGTGTGAAAACGTCATGCCAAGTGAAAGGAGACAGCCACTGAAGATCTCGCTCCAGAGCTGGCAAATCTGTAGAGACAGGAAGCAGATTCCGCCTTGCCTGGGGCTGGTGGAGTGGGGAGACACAGGTGATAAGCAGTGACTGCTAACGGGTGGTATTGCTTTGGCGGGTGATGACAGTGTTCTGGAATTAGATAGTAGGGATGGTTGTACAACTTTGTGAGTGTACTAAAAACCACTGAATTGTACACTTTCAACAGATAAACTTTATAGCATATAAATGATAGCTCAGTAAGTGATTTAAAAAGTGGACGGGTGCGGTGGCTTATGCCTGTAATCTCAGCACTTCGGGAGGTCCAGGTGGGTGGATCACTTGAGGTCAGGAGTTCGAAACCAGCCTGGCCAACATGGGGAAACCCCGTCTTTACTAAAAATACAAAAATTAGCTGGGTGTTTTGGCGTACACCTGTAGTCCCAGCTGCTCAGGAGGCTGAGGCACGAGACTTGCTTGAACCCAGGAGGTGGAGGTTGCAGTGAGCTGAGATTGTGCCACAGCACTGCAGCCTGGGTGACAGAGCAAGACTCTGTCTCAAAATAATAATAATAATAATGACAGCATTCATATTACAATAACCACTTCAAAGATGAGATAAAAGTATAAATTCCATTTACAATAACAACAAAAATACTTGGAATAAGTTTACAGACAAACATACAGAATGTGTATAAGAAAACAAACTCTTTTTTTTTTTTTTTAAAGACGGGGTTTCACCATGTTGGTCAGGCTGGTCTTGAACTCCCGACCTCAGGTGATCCACCCACCTTGGCCTCCAAAGTGCTTGGATTACAGGCGTGAGCCACCACGCCCGGCCGAAAAGAAACTCTTTTGAGAAATACAATAGTAGACTGATGATGCGCTTTCCTAGTTTTCTCTACTATTTTTGTATATGTGCCTATAAATATGAAGCCTCCATTTTGACTGGAAACAAAGCCTAGAGGATGTATACTTTTTTTAAGATGCAGAAAATGAAATGAAATCCCAAAACATTCCTGACAATCTTACTTTTTTACTATTTTCATTTCTAAAATTTTTATATTAAATAGAGATGGGGGTCTTGCTGTGATGCCCAGGCTGGTCTTGAACTCCTGGCCTCAAGTGATCCTCCTGCCTTGGCCTCCCAAAGTGCTGGGATTACAGTCATGAGCCACCGTGCCCAGCCCATTTTTTTTTTTTTTTTTTTTTACTATTTTCTAATGAATCTGTTTTTATGAAAAAAATTATTATTCTAAGTACAATTGAGCATAATAATTCCTACCTCTTCCTCAATAGTAGAAACCACAATGTTATAAATCAATATAATTTATGTTTCCGGTACCTTATTGTCATACTTTTGGTTTGCTTGGGAAAACTAACTAGGGTCATTTTTATTTTCCAAGGAGAGGAAGAAATTCTATTAATACTCGGGGATCTGAAGTTCTCTTTAAAATATTTTCTTGGCAGAGACTGAGCTGTCAACATGTAAATGTGTGTGTTTTTTTGTTTTTTGGGTTTTTTTGCAGTCTCACTGTTAGAAACCAGGAAGATCAGAGGCCCACAATAGCTTCCCATGAACTCAGAGCAGACCTTCCAACCTGGGAAGAAAGGTGAAATAGCACGTTTTTTACCTCACTAAACTTAAAGAAACATCAACCTCTTTCTTTTCTTTGCCTTGTACGTTTCTATAGAACATGCACCTTCTCTAACTGCAATTTAGTAACAGCCAATCGCTATGTGGCCTCACACTCCTCCCCTGCAGAATTCCATTTAATTCATTGCATGACAGGGAGAGAAATAATTTCCATTATTAGTCTAATCCCTTTGTTAATTGCAAATACAAATAAAAGCTTCCTAACAAAATATATTATGTTATTTTATTTTTTTATAATGTACTTGTAAAAATAAAACACTGACTGGGCACGGTGGCTCACGACTGTAATCCCAGCACTTTGAAAGGTCGAGGTGGGTGGATCACCTGAGGTCAGGAGTTCGAGACCAGCCTGGCCAACATGGTAAAACCCCGTCTCTATTAAAATACAAAAATTGGCCGGGCGCGGTAGCTCACGCCTGTAATCCCAGCACTTTGGGAGGCCGAGGCGGGTGGATCATGAGGTCAAGAGATCAAGACCATCCTGGTCAACATAGTGAAACCCCGTCTGTACTAAAACTACAAAAAATTAGCTGGGCACAGTGACGCGTGCCTGTAATCCCAGCTACTCAGGAGGCTGAGGCAGGAGAATTGCTTGAACCCAGGAGGCGGAGGTTGCGGTGAGCTGATATCGCACCATTGCACTCCAGCCTGGGTAACAAGAGCGAAACTCTATCTCAAAAAATAAAAATAAAAAAATTAAAAATACAAAAATTAGCTGGGCATGGTGGCACACACCTGTAATCCCAGCTGTTCGGGAGGCTGAGGCAGGGATAATTGTTTGAACCTAGAGGCAGAGTTTGCAGTGAGCCAAGATTGCACCACTGCACTCCAGCCTGGGAGACAGAGCAAGACCCTGTCTCAAAAATAATTAATTAGTTAATTTTAAAAATAAAAGGGAGAGAGAGAAAGAAAAAGTTATAGATGCTTGGCAAAAATTAAATGATGTTTAAGTAAAGAAACTAATCTAACCTCTGAGACATTAAACACTGTTAACACATTCCTTTTTTTTTTGAGAAGGAGTCTAGGTCTGTTGCCCAGGCTGGAGTGCAGTGATGCAATCTTGGCTCATTGCAACCTCCGCCTCCCAGGTTCAAGTGATCCTCCTGCCTCAGCCTCCTGAGAAGCTGGGATTACAGGCTCGCGCCATCACACCCGGCTAATTTTTGCATTTTTCAGAGACGGGGTTTCACCATGTTGACCAGGCTGACAACAGGTGATCCACCCGCATTGGTCTCCCAAGTGCTGTAACAAAGTACCAAAATCTGGGTGCTTAAAATGACGGAAACTTGTTCCCTCACAGTTCTTGAGGCTGGAAGTCCAAAATCAAGGTGTCAGCAGGCCATGATTTCTCTATACTCTTAAGGCCCTAGGGGAGGATCCTTCCTGGTTCTTCCAGCTTTGGGTGGTTACCAGCAGTGCATGTCATTCCTTGGCTTATAGATACCTCACTCAAGTCACGTGGCCATCTCATCCCTGTGCTTCTCCATGTCATCTTCACCCTGTGCATGTCTGTGTCTGTGTCCAGATTTCCCCTTACAGGATACCAGTCATTTAGATTAGATCTCATCATAATGACCTCATCTAACTTCACCAAATCTGCAAAGACCTTATTCCTAAATAAGGTCACATTCTGAGGTACAACAGGTTAGAACTACAACGTATCTTTCACAGGGGCACAATTTAACCCATAATACCTTTCTACAGAATAGACACTGGATCCAGATGTTTTCACAGGCTAGGTCCACAAAACACTCTGGGAATAGATCATGCCAAGATCAGGCAACTCTAGTATAACTAATGCAATACCTGAGAGGCCAGTGTAACGGTGATACCGAAACCCAGTAGGATTGTTCAAGAATGGAAAGGTAGAGGTGACTCCTACTCAGGAGCTGGTCACACACAACAACACGGGGGAATCTTAGAAACTTAATGTTGAGTGGAAAAAGCAAGTTGCAGAAGACAACATAGAGTCCAGCGTTTTGATTTTTTAAAAAACTGCTGGGCACGGCGGCTCATGCCCATAATCCCAGCAGTTTCGGAGGCCAAGGCAGGTGGATCACCTGAGGTCCAGAACAGCCTGGGCAATGGTGAAATCCTGTCTCTACTAAAAATACAAAAAATTAGCTGGGTGTGGTGGTACCCATGGGAGGCTGACACAGGAGAATTGCTTGAACCCAGGAGGAAGAGGTTGCAGTGAGCTGAGATCGCGCCATTGCACTCAAGCCTGGGTGACAGACAGAGACTCTGTCTCAAAAAAATAAAATAAATAAATCAAACCTAAAGACTATATTTTTCAGTGTTACATATACACATTTAAAATTATGGAAATAAGATAAAAGAGATATTAAGGATCATTGTTAAGCTATGTTTGCTCACCTCAAAACAATTACGACAGAAGTAAGAATTAACTCAAAGGGGTAAGCCCACAATCAAGTGTAGCAGTTCACTAGGAGACAGAGCCGGGAGAGAGCAGCAAGTAGAAGCGGCAGCAAAATCAGTGCAGCATTGTCCGTGCTGTTCTGGTTCGTACGGAAAATGGCACATTCATTCGTGTTCATTTACACTGGAGACTCGGTGGATGGGAGTGTGGGAGGGAGGTAAGGGATGAAATTACCTAGTGAGTACGATGTGATGACCACACTAAAAGCCCAGGCTTCACCATTGTGCAATATACCCATGTCACAAAAGTGCACTTGGAGCCCCTAATTATATTTTTTAAACGTTTGTAATTTCAAAAAAAAAAAAAAAAAAAAAAAAAGGGAGCTGGGCACAGTGGCTAACACCTGTAATCCCACCAGTCTGTGGGAGGCCAAGGTGGGTGGACCACTTAAGCCCAAGTGTTCGAGACCAGCCTAGGCAACATAGTAAGACCTGACTGTACCAAGAACAGGAAAAGTTAGCTGGGTGTGGCGGCATGTGCCTGTAGTCCTAGCTACTTGGGAGGCCAAGGCAAGAGAATCACATGAGCCTAGGAAGTCGAGGCTGCAGTAAGCGGTGATCACACCCCTGCCCTCCAGCCTTGGCAGCACAGTGAGACTCTGTCTCAAAAACAAAATGTTTTGTTGTCACCTTTTATAACTTGCATTTATATTATATATATTCTCTTTCTGAAATATTACATAATTTTAAAATATATTAAACAGACACTTGCCCTATCGTTCTAGAGGTTTAATGTTGTCAAGTCTGACTTAGTTCTGTCAGAGTACAGAACCCATCACAGGTGATTAGGAAGTTTTGGGTCATATGGTCATAGAATTTTTTTTTTTTTTTTTTTTTTGAGACTGAATTTCGCTCTTGTTACCCAGGCTGGAGTGCAATGGCGCGATCTCGGCTCACCACAACCTCCGCCTCCTGAGTTCAGGCAATTCTCCTGCCTCAGCCTCCTGAGTAGCTGGGATTACAGGCACGCGCCACCATGCCCAGCTAATGTTTTTTGTAGTTTTAGTACAGACGGGGTTTCACCATGTTGACCAGGATGGTCTCGATCTCTTGACCTCGTGATCCACCCGCCTCGGCCTCCCAGAGTGCTCGGATTACAGGCTTGAGCCACCGCGCCCGGCCGGTCGTAGGATTTTTCTTTGCATTTATAGTTTTTAAAATATTGCAAGATGTGCCCAGTTGTAAACAAGCATGTTCTTAGCAGTTATTCTAGTAACTTGGCTTGCAAGCCTTTCCGTATGCAATCCAGCAAACAATTTGAAAGTATCATATTCATGCGTTTTTCTCAAAGGCTTAAGAAAATGAGAACAGCTCTTTCCCTTCCTAAAAGGGCCTAAACACATCTATTTTTCATTCTTGGAGGAGGAAAAGATACATTTCTAATGATGAAATTCCAATTAACTACCAGTAACAGTTCCCTTTTACCCTCTCTGTTTCGGTCTCCACGAAGCCCTGCTCCTACTCTGGAAGAAGTCAACGCCTGGGCTCAGTCATTTGACAAATTAATGGTCACTCCAGCAGGAAGGAATGCATTCCGTGAGTTCCTCCGAACAGAATTCAGTGAAGAAAACATGCTCTTCTGGATGGCCTGTGAGGAACTGAAAAAGGAAGCTAATAAAAACATTATTGAAGAGAAAGCAAGGATAATCTATGAAGACTACATTTCTATACTTTCCCCTAAGGAGGTATGTGACTACGAAATGCCTTCTTCCAGGGCTGCTGGTAAAATTATTCAGTTGGTGCAAAAGTAATGGCTATAGGCAGGGCGCGGTGGCTCACGCCTGTAATCCCAGCACTTTGGGAGGCCGAGGCGGGTGGATCACCTGAGGTCAGGGGTTTGAGACCAGCCTGATGTACATGATGAAACCCCATCTCTAGTAAAGATACAAAAATTAGCCGGGCATGGTGGTGGGCGCCTGTAATCCCAGCTACTGGGGAGGCTGAGGCAGGAGAATCGCTTGAACCCAGGAGGCAGTGGTTGCAGTGAGCTGAGATACACCATTGCACTCCAGCCTGGGAGACAAGAGCAAAACTCAAAAAACAAAAGTAATCGCTGTTACTACTAATGGCAAAAACTGATTACTTTTGCACCAACCTAATCACTCCTTCCCAGTTTGGTCATGTTTAGCTTGACCCAGAACAGCAACTGCAAAACGTAGAAAACAGCTGCACCCGCAGTCATGGTATTCAGATCCCTTTGACTGTGGACCTGCAGAGGGGTCCCAAGTGTCCTCTGAAATCTGTGAAAAATTTTGCGCATTTTTATGGAAAAAGTATTCCCTGGAGTCTGCATTTGACTGTGAACACTGTTTACAAATATTACACCCTAAGACATTCCATTAAATAAAATTATCCTGTTATTCTGAGAAAAAATCTTATATGTAGGTATCTTGATGTTACAGAGCACAGCGTCACAGATGAGATACTGACATTGCCAAGGTTTTCCCCAGGCTGGCCTTTTCACATTCAAGAAATTATCAAATGAATGAGATTGGGCAAGTATCCACCTGTCAGTTTCAGTTTCTTCAAATCTAAAATTTAGGAGTCAGCCCGGGTGCGGTGGCTCACTTCTGTAATCCCAGCACTTTGGGAGGCTGAGGCAGGTGGATCAGCTGAGGTCAGGAGTGCAATACCGGCCTGGCCAACATGGTGAAAACCCATATCTACTAAAAATACAAAAAATTAGCTGGGTGCGGTGGTGCATGCCTGTAATCCCAGCTACTTGGGAGGCTGAGGCACCTGGGAGGTGGAGGTTGCAGTGAGCAGAGATTGCATCATTGCATTCCAGCCTGGGCAACGAGAGTGAAACTCCATCTCAAAAAAAAACCAAAATCATAATTAAATAAAATTAAGGAGGTCAGATTGTTCTCACAATTTTGTGCCTTGTAGCTCTAATTATAAGTCTGTAGGTTATTTCCCACTATGTGCTGACAGGAAAGCCAGAGTAAAGAAGCAGGGCATCTCCTGTCATGGAGCTCCCAGAGATGGGGGCGGGCAGACCAGGACGCCTGGCCACATGTTCAGCGCTTACCGGGGCTTAGGGGTGAGCCATCCACAAAGGGGTGGCAAGAATTAGAAAGGTACTCAGGAAGGCTGCAGATAGACCAAGGATGGTGAAAAGGGGATTTCCAGAAACACAGCAGGGTGGGGACATCCCAGGAGACAGGACCAGGCAAGTCCAGGGGACAAGCATGAAGTTGAGGGATCACTGCAAGTGTACACAGACTGTTGTGGCGGACGGGGACGGGGAGGGTGCTTACCAAACCGTCGGGCCTGGTGGTAGGCAGCGGGAGGAGAATTAGAAAAGGGACAGTCGGAGAATGTGGAGAGATTTGGGCATCATGCTGAAGTGTTTGGATTTTTATCTCGGGAAGCCCTTGGATTTTAGCCCGTTGATATCACCAAATTTGGATGTTTGAAAGACCAATAGGCTTGAAGAATGGATTTGGAGATGACCAAGGGCAGAGACCTTAGAAAATGAATTCAGGAGTCCAAAGGGACGTGGTGAGGGCCTAGCTAGGCCAGCCGAAGACACTAGAGGGGAAGGGTTGACGAGGCAAACCCCAGCATCTCAAAATGACTCCCATATCCCTGGCGTAGGCAGACTAGGTGGTGGGGTCGTTGACTTAGTTAAGTTTGCTTTGTTATATTTTGCTTTCTTAAGTTCATGTTGTTAAATTAGTGATATGCAGTTGACATGTTTGAATACTGAGTCCAGAAAGTTATTTTTATGTTGGTTTGATAAGAGCAAGATAATTTTTGTTCTTTAATTTGTGGCTTCTACATATTTCTATTTTGTCATGATTTCTTTTTCAAGGCAAGGTTTGTCCTCAGTCTTTTAAAGTATTATACAACCAAAAAATTATAATCCCAGCCTATAATCCTAGCACTTAGGGAGGCCGAGGCAGGCGAATCATGAGGTCAGGAGTTTGAGACCAGTCTGGCCAACATGGTGAAACCCCGTCTCTACTAAAAATACAAAAATTAGCCAGGCGTGGTGGCATGTGCCTGTAATCTCAGCTACTCAGGAGGCTGAGCCAGGAGAATTGCCTGAATCCAGGAGGTGGAGACTGCAGTGAGCCGAGACCATGCCACTGCACTCCAGCCTGGGTAACAGAGCAAGACTACATCTAGAAAAAAAAAAAATTTAGGAAATTTATGAAGCAAAAACAATATAAAAAGATGACCCTTTCTCCCCAAATATAAGCATTTATCGTTTGAAATGCAAAAGCTTGAAAAAGCTTAAGAACATAGATTTAGCCATATGCACAGGTCATAGCGTAGGTTGGATGAGCTTGGGTTTAAACCCCAGTTCTCGTTTTTTAGCTGCCTGACTGCAGGTGTCCTTTTTAACCCCTCTGCAGCTTTTTCCTCCTGTGTACGAAGGGAACATCACACCTGTAGATTTGGGCAGGGTAGAGAGAAAGGTTATTTTAGACAGAGGGAACAAAGACAAGGTATTTCTAGCTCCTTCCTTCTTTAAATTGCAAGTGGTTCAGAGCAGCTCTTGAGAAGAATGAGGCAGAACAGATTGTGAAAGGCTTCAAAAGCTCAGACTTAGATCTGATAAGCTTTGGACTTGATCCTAGCACCAGCAAGCCAGAGCGGAGTATGAGGCTGGCGTGTCAGGACAGGGTTTGCATTTTAGAAAGAGGCCCCGGGACTGAGCCCAGGAACGGGACATGGTGAAGCACTAGACCAGCGCCAGGAGAACGCTTAGTAGGCTGCTGCGCAAATCCAGCGGGAAATGGCCAGAGACCTCTCCAAGGCTCATGGCAGACAGAAGGGGAAGGTGGATAGATTCAGGTGTTAGAGAGGTAGGGAGGGCCGGGCCCGGTGGCTCATGCCTGCAATCCTGGTACTTTGGGAGAGGCCAAGATGGGAGGATCGCTTAAGCTCAGGAGTTCCAGAGCAGCCTGGGCAACATAGTGAGACCCCATCTCTTAAAAAAAAAAAATTAGCTGGGTGTGGTGACACACATTTGTAGCCCCAGCTGCTCAGGAGGCTGAGGCAGGAAGATCACTTGAGCCCATTAGTTTGAGGCTGCAGTGAGCTATAATGGGACTGCTGCACTCCAGCCTGGGCAACAGAGCAAGATCCCATCTCAAAATAAATAAGCAGGGCTGTGAACTGAGTGGGGACAGCTAGCTCCATTTTTTCATGAGCTCACAAGATCGGGAGATGCTGGGAGCCCATTTTGACAGTATCGGGTTTGAGGTCCCACCTATGGGTAAGAAAGAGGCTTTCCAGGAGGAAGGTGGATATATGCACCTGGAAAGATAGATCACGTAAGCCAGTATTTAATGATTTAAGTAATTACATTTTCAGTTTTTGTTTTTGTTTTTGTTTTGAGACAGAGTCTCACTCTGTCACTAGGCTGGAGTGCCATGGCATGATCTCGGCTCACTGTAACCTCTGCCTTTTTGGGTCCAAACGATTCTCCTGTCTCAGCCTCCCGAGTAGCTGGGATTACAGGCACGCACCACTGTGCCCAGCTAATTTTTGTATTTTTAGTAGAGACGGGGTTTCATCATATTGGCCAGGATGGTCTCGATCTCTTGACCTCATGATCTGCCTGCCTTGGCCTCCCAAAGTGCTGGGATTACAGGTGTGAGCCACTGCGCCCGACCTATTTTCAGTTTTTTATGAAAGCACTGCGTGGCATTGGAACTATCCTGGCCAGCCTGTGCAGGGATGGCCCAGCTGAGGTTCTTTCCACAGAAGAGATGAGTTCATCTTTGCACCTTTGGCCTGGACTCACTTGTCTGGTATCCTACAGGAACAGTGTGAGCCCAGTCGTTTGCTCTGGTTTATAAGACAGTCTTGTCTAGGAAGAGCCAAACATCAGAGCAATAATAGGCGACATCTCCTACGGGGTTAGTGAAATCCAAGCACTTTGTCATTAGATCACCAAAAACATTGACACTATCATCATCATCATCCCCACTTCAGGGGAGGAGTTCACTAGGACGCAGAGTTTACCTTGCCCAAGGCCCTATAACTATGCAGTCACAGGGCTGGAATTTAAACCCTGGGATCGTCTGCCCTCAGGCCCTGTGATTGGAACCTCCCAGGATTTTGAGCCAGCGTCCACTTCACCACTGTGCCCAACCCTCCAGGCAGGCCAGCACTCATCCCAAGACCTGCCAGTGGACCAGCAGGGGAAGTCTGGGCCTCCAGGCGTCAGCCCCCATGTTACGAGGAAATGAGCAAGGGGCAGTCTGTGCTGCCTGTTTTCTACAAAGCAGCAGTGTGAGCCCCCACCAGCATCAGTTGGAACTTGTGGGAAATAAGCAATCAGGGAGACCCCTACACCTCCTAAGTCTGGGGTGGGACCCAGCTACTGTCTCACAAGCCCTCGAGCCTGCTGATGCCACTGGCCTTTGAGAACCACGTTGATGATGCTTTTGGTTTCTCTTTCGGTGGTTTGGATTTTTGGGATGATCTTGTTTGGTTTGGGATATTTAAAAAACAACAAGGTCAGGTGCAGCGGCTCACGCCTGTAATCCTAGCACTTAGGGAGGCCGAGGTGGGCAGATCACCTGAGGTCAGGGGTTCAAGACAAGCCTAGCCAACATGGCAAAACCCCGTCTCTACTAAAAATACAAAAACTAGCCAAGCATGGTGGCGTTGCCTGTAATCCCAGCTATTCAGGAGCCTGAGGTAGGAGAATTCCTTGAACCCAAAAGGCGGAAGTTGCAGTGAGCCGAGATAGCACCACTGCACTCCAGCCTGGGCGACAGAGTGAGGCTGTCTCAAAAAAACAAAAACACAAGCTCTGGGAGTTTGGGATGGAGCTACAACCGAAGTCTCTAATACAGTTCCTACTCATTTCTGTTGACAGGTGAGCTTAGACTCCCGGGTGAGAGAAGTCATCAACAGAAACATGGTGGAGCCGTCCCAACACATATTCGACGATGCTCAACTTCAGATTTACACCCTGATGCACAGAGACTCATATCCTCGATTCATGAACTCTACCGTCTATAAGGACTTGCTTCAGTCCTTATCGGAAAAACCCATTGAAGCATAGGATTTTTCAAATATATTTATTATTAATAAAATAATAAAAGAACTCATGGGCTACATCTAGCACAGGGAATTTAGAGGCTGTAGCATCTTCTGCTGGAGTAATACTCAGGCTATTTTAATAACAGATGATTCCTTCAACAGACTGCTATACATTCACAATGTAAATTGCAGCCACCTTTAGTGATACTTTTGGGGAAAAAAAAGGGACATGGCTGTTGTAGAAAGCGTATTTGCATTTACAGTTACTGTAGCATGTTGTCAGTGGTGAGGGCTACACAGAAGGCTCCCTGCTGCCCAGGGCAGGTGCACCCAGCAGAGCAAAGGGAACCACTTTTGTTTTGCATGACTTTGGTAACTGATTACTGTTCCTCCAAAGAGAAGACATTCAGGTGTTTCTCAACCACCTCTTCCGCCCATTAAGCTCGGTTTGAATACTTCACTTACCAGTGCCGTTACAGGACCCAAATTCACAGTTCATAAAGATGTGACCACTACATGTGAAAATGGCATTCCGCTTGATCTTAGTATGTGTGTATGGAGACACATGTGTGCGTGTGTGGATCTCTACGTGGTTAATGTAAAGCACTGCTCTGAGGTGGATCAGTCTCAAGTGTCTGGTAACAGAAGCAGTGCTTAGAAAATTCTTTTGTAGAAAAGAATTACTGTTATTTTATTATCAGAATTTGCCAACCTAAAGAACGAATTTTTAAATTCACAACTGGTTATCTTCACCACAAAACTGTCAAATAAGCATATTTCCATTTTTATTATTGAAAGAAATATGGGCATTTTCATTCTTTAAAGAAATAAAGCACAATAACTTAATCTCAATCTTTATTTTTCCATATGTACATATTTGAGAAATATAAGATTAAGAAAGTAGGGATACATGCAGCATATCTTTTAGCTCCCAGACGAGGATTCTGTGCTTAGATCCCACTATTTTTATCATAGGCAAAAAGAACTTCATAGCTTACAGGCAAAAATACTGCTTGGTAGACCTAGCCCATCTTGAAGAAACCCATCTCTACAATGAATGGGAAACACACTCAAAATCCGGGACACTCTGAATAGTGGGACAGAAGCTACGTTGCAGGAGGTGGTGCTGTGCTCCCGCCCTCACAGGGGATGGCTCTCCTCTGGGTCCCTCTCCCTGCCTGGCCCCTCCATAGCCTGCCTGTATCTTCATGACTCAATTCAAGCCCCAAACCCAAGCCCCTCTCCTTCATTCTCAGGAAACCATTTTACCTCCTATTCTACTATGCAAATTGTGTCCCTAAGCCTCCTCGGCTTCCCAGGCAACCTATCAACATGTATAGATCAGAGTCTATTCTCATCTCCCTCGGTCCAGTCCCAGAGAACAATGTGTTCTTTCCTCCTTTTCGAGGTGTCACTCCCTTACCTGTGCTTCAATTCCAAGTCTTCCAATCTCGTTTCTTACTAAAGAAAAAGGATATCATTGTGAATGAGACATAAGCCCTGCCCTCTAGTAGTTTACGTTCAGTAAAAGCCGACTGATATGTCTGTGGGAACTCTGAGATGGTAAGAACTACAGCAGGGGGAGAACAGCGCTGAGGGAGTCTTAAAGGGTTATGGAAGGATTCTGGTGGAGATGGCACCAAAGTCAAAACCTAGAGAACAAAATAGAAAGTATATGTGTTGGGGGCAGGGAGGGGATCAGACTAGATGCTATTCATAACTGAGCGACCCCAAAGGAGTCCAGTTGTGGACATGCTGAGAACAAGAGAAGACACACCGACATCATCATCAGTTGAAGGGAGGGACCTGGGTGGTTGAGTCTAGGCTGGCATATTGAGTTTGGGGTTTTTCAGCACATAGGCAAATAAGATTGCCTGGAGAATTATGTGTGAAAAGATAGCTGAGGGTAAATCACTGCAAGAATAGACAGAACTGAGACCAAAGGAGATTTAGGATTCACCTTGTCAATAAAGGTAAGAAAAGAGTCGGGAATGTGGCAATATGGCAGCAGAGGCATGGGAGTGTCTCCAGGAGCGGTGGTGAACAGCGGTAAACGAAAGACTTAACTTAGAGCTTTGTTCCCGCATTTTCTCCCCACCCTCCTGTATTACCGAGTTCACCTTGGCTTCTCCCCACACCGTGAGCATGGTCAATTTCCCAGTTAAAAACAAAACCTGCACTCCACTGTAACAGCTGCCTCTTCTCAGCCCCTTTCTCATCAGACGTTTCACAACAGCCCACACTTGCTGTCTCCATTTCCTCATCTCCCCATTCCCACCTCGAGCTGCTCCAGTGCCGCCACCTGCTCCAAGGAGGCCTCCCTCCACCAAGTCCACAGCACAGTTTTCCCAGCCTTCTCAGTGGGCTGCTCAGCTCCTGATACCATGGATGACTCCTTCCTTGAAACAGCACTTCCTCCGGCTTCTGAGGTGCTCTCCTGGTTCTCCGTATTCTCTCTCTTCTTCGTTTCCTTCTCAGGCAGAACAGCACAGCAGCTAAGGGCTTCAGTTCTGGAGCCAGACTCTCCGATTCCTCCTGACCACCTGGCAGCAGGAACTTGGCCTTTCTGCGCCTGCTTCCTCAATGAAATTGAGGATAGTAATAGTGCTCATCCCTGGTGTGGCTGAGGATTAAAGCGAGTCCATGTACCGTGCAGTAAGCACTTATTACACATTAGTCACTGCAGTTATTACCTGCCCATAAATATGGTGGCCCCTAAGGCGTGGACTTGGGTTTCCTTTTCTTGCTAATCTGTATGTTCTCCCTTGGTCCTCACATTCCCTTGTTTTAAATACCTACCAATATACTGATGGCTACCAAATTGGGATCCAGGCAAGACTTTCTCCTGAACTTGAGAATCAGCTCCCAGCTGGCCATCTCCACTGGGGTATCCCACCAGGGCACAATACACCAGGGCTTGGCTGTGACTCCTGACCCCACTACCTCCCCACCCCAAGCCTGGCCGGCTGCAGCCCAGTGACCCAGCCAGTCACCTAAGCTCTTACCAGTGCTAGCTGTGACTCTTCCCTCCCTTTCTCCTCCCACACATAATCACCCAGCCTTGCAAATTTTACCTCCTAAATATTTCTCACATGTCTCTTTCTTCTGATCCCCATGATCTCTTATCAGCATCATTGCCAGAAGAGCTTCACACCTGGTCTCCTGCACCCAGTCTCAGCCCATTCAAATCCATCTTTCAAATGCCATTGGGCGGTCATTCTCACATAAATTTCTTCGTCACCCACCATCCCTCCACTCCTTAATATCTTTCAGCGGTTCCTGGTTGCTTGGAGTCAAAACCCAGTTCTTGGCCCAGCATACAAGCAAGGCCCTCTGGAGTCAGGCTGCTGGCTCCCTAGCCAGCCTCGTTTCTATTTTAGACTCTAGAACACAGATGTGTAGAAAAGGAGCATATGCCACTCAGACCCTCATGACTGTTCCTGAAAACTTGGTTTCTGCTGTCCCTTACCTGATCTAACTCTCTAAAATTCCACTTTTTTTTTTTTTTTTTTTTTTTGAGACGGAGTTTCACTCTTGTTGCCCAGGCTAGAGTGCAATGGCATGATCTCGGCTCACTGCAATCTCCGCATCCTGGATTCACGGGATTCTCCTGCCTCAGCCTCCCAAGTTGATTACAGGCATGCGCCACCATGCCTGGCTAATTTTGTATTTTTCATAGAGATGGGGTTTCTCCATGTTGGTCAGGCTGGTCTCGAACTCCCGACCTCAGGTGATTCACCCACCTCAGCCTCCCAAAGTGCTGGGATTACGGGCGTGAGCCACCACACCCGGCCTCTAAAATTCCACTCCTTACCCAGCAAATTCATATCATTTCTTTAAGATTTACCTCCTCCAAGAAACCTGACCTCCTAAGTCATACCTACTGTGTTGGGGGCCATTTTTTAACGTTGCAGGAGTGTTCCGTACAAATATTTATCATCTGAGTCATTACAAGTCGAGACTTCATCTCAAAAAAAAAGGAAAATGTAGACCGGGTGCGGTGGCTCACGCCTGTAATCCCAGCACTTTGGAAGGCCGAGACGGGTGGAGCACCTGGGGTCGGGGGCTCGAGACAAGCTTGACCAACATGAAGAAACCCTGTCTCTACTTAAAATACAAAATTAGTCGGGTGTGGTGGCGGGCGCCTGTAATCCCAGCTACTCAGGAAGCTGAGGCAGGAGAACTACTTGAACCCAGGAGGCAGAGGTTGTGGTGAGCAAGACTGTGCCCTTGCACTCCAGCCTAAGCAACAAAAGTGACACTCCGTCTCAAAAAAAAGAAGGAAATGAAATATTAACTGAAACCTTATACCCATAGAACAGCAGCTCCGTACTTCCCCTCTCCCCAGCCCCTAGCAACCACCATTCTACTCTCTGCTTCTATGAGCTTAACTATTCTATGCAGTATTTGTCTTTCTTTCACTTAGCATAATGTCTTCAAGGTTCATCCATTATCCTGATTCATCAATTCTGTCACGTAGAGCAGGATTTCCTTGTTTTTATGGCTAACATTTCACTGTACACACACACGGCAGGATTTCCTTGTTTTTACTGGTAGTATTTCATTGTACACACACACACACACACACACCCCCCACATTTTCCTTTTTTATTTCTGACCCACCACATGGCTAGATCCAGACGTCCGATATTATCAGGGCTCTCTCTCCATCTCAACTCCCCTCGGCTTCATTGTACACAAAGGATCTCTGCATGTAGTAGGCAAAAAGCTACAGGGAGCCCCAAACGCAGCTGTGCTGGCTTAGCTGTACCTGTTCATATGGGAATCTCAAGGATGCACATGGGGTATGGGGACACTGTGAATGAGACCCACCCGGAGTAATGTACAGGGGAGAAGGGGTGAAGGTGCCCCCAAATTAATTAGTCAAGTATCTGGGAGCTAATGCTCAGTAGACAGAAGCTATAGCTATCACAGTCCAATGCCAGTGCTCTCAGTTTTTGCTTTTTAAATACCTGCTACACTTTCACATTGGCATTACAAGTAACGTATATTTCAAAGTAGTTCAGTCATCCAACTATAAAAACACTTGGACTAATTTAACCAGACTGTATGGGATATCACATATGAAATGTCTTTTTGAAGTCACGGCCATTAAGGGGAAAAATAATGAGCTATCTTTATATAGCATCCAGGGAGAGGAATCAGAACAAGGTAAGTCATCTGAGATAGCTCCCCGTGCTTTCATTTTCCATCCCCCAGCTGGACAAACAAGTACAGGAGCACACTGAAACTGTTGCATCACTTTGCAGAAGCACCAAAAGGGATCTCCAAAGACTCTAACTCCTTACATTCCTTATTTTAAAGTTGGAGTCTAAAACATGACCAACCAGTAACTATCCATTCTACCTCTGCTGGTCCTCAACCCATGGAACATTCTTTCTTTATATCTTAGCTCCTGAAGAGCCAAGGACAACATGTAACACATTGACAAAGACATATCCAAGAAAAACTATTTCATGAGCACCTACTATGTGACAGGCATTCTTCTGGATGCTAAAGATACAGCAGCGAACACATTTCCCACAAGAACTTACCAACTCCACCTCTACTAAGTTATAGCTGCTGGTTATTGAATATAGCCATGATTATGAGCTGTTTTTTCCACTCTACTTCACTATTACTTTTTACTGACTTCAATTTACTTAAACATTGTTCAACATAATGTTTCCATTACGTCCTAGGAATTTGTCAGTAACTCTGTCCTATTTCCCATGAAGTAGCATTCTTAAGGATGGTCCTTTTTCATATGTGGGTTTTTTTTTTAAAGACAGAGTTTTGCTCTTGTTGCCCAGGCTGGAATGCAGTGGCACAATTGAGCTCACCTCAACTTCCGCCTCCTAGGTTCAAGCCATTCTCCTCCCTCAGCCTCCCAAGTAGCTGAGATTATAGGCATGTGCCACCATGCCCAGCTAATTTTGTATTTTTAGTAGAGACGAGGTTTCACTATATTAGTTAGGCTGGTCTCAAACTCCTGACCTCAGGTGATCCACCCACCTCAGCTTCCCAAAGTGTTAGGATTACAGGCATGAGCCACAATGCCTGGCCTCATATGTGGCTTTCGCTAGTAATTCAGTGATTATCCCCATCGTGTTTCCCAGTGGGATACACAATTCATTTTGAATGGCTAATTTTCTACAACTAAATAAAGTGGATATAGAAAACAATTTTTTGTTTTTTAAAAATTTTATATAGAGACAAGGTCTCGCTATGTTGCCCAGGCTGGTTTCAAACTCCTGAGCTCAAGCAAACCTCTTGCATTATTGGCCTCCCAAAGTGCTGGAATTACAGGTATGAGCCACCTCACTGCTCTGGCTTTTTTTCCTTGAGGTAGGGTCTCATTCTGTTCCTCAGGGTGTTGTACAATGGTGTAAACACAGCTCACTGCAGCCTCAATCTTCTGAGCTCAAAGGATTCTCCTGCCTCAGCCTCCTGAATAGCTGAGACCACAGCTATGCACCACCAGCCAATTTTTTATAGAAACAGGGTCTTATTTTGTTGCCCAGACTGATCTTGAACTCCTGGGCTGAAGCAATCCTCCTGCCTCAGCCTCCCAAAGTGCTGGGATTACAGGTGTGAGCCACCAAGCCCAGCCTGGGAACAACTATTGATTAAAACTCTTTAAATCACAACTCTATAACTGTAGTTTTTATTTTGAGAAATATGGTTGAGCATGGTAGCTCAAGTCTGTAATCCCAGCACTTTGGAAGGCCGAGGCAGGCGAACTGCATGAGTTCAGGAGTTCGAGACCAACCTGAGCAACATGGCCCATCTCTACTAAAAATACCAAAATGCTGGGTGTGTTGGCATGCACCTATAATCCAGCTACTTGGGAAGCTGAGGTGGGAGATCACTTGAGCACAGAAGGCGGAGGTTGCAGCGAGCAGAGATTGTGCCACTGCACTCCAGTGAGGGCAAATGAGTGAGACTCTGTCTCAAAAAAAAAAAAAAAAAAAAAAAAGAGAGAGAGAGAAATAAAGTCCATTCAGATCCACAAATTACAATTTGACCCATAAGGACAACCACTACGTAGCTATAAAAATTCAAAGCATAGCCTGTTATTTCTTTTGCTATTTTTGTTAATACTTAAAATATCTGCCATTTGTAAGACATATATATAGGTTTAGATGTCTGGGGGAGTATAAATATTTCTGAATTTTTGCCACAGCTTAGTAAAATTTACAAACCAATGCTCATCATCACTCGGGTAAGTAAGTTAGAAAACCAAGATTGTTATTTTCTGTTTTCATAGGATGGTTCTTCATTATCTGTATTTGTCTAATTCCTTTGTTCATTTAACACAGTTACTTTGCCCTGAAAGTAAATGTCATAAAATACTACCCTTAATATTTACTTCCAGTTACTTTATAAATGTCTAGTATTGGGCCAGGCGTGGTGGATCACCTGAGGTCAGGAGTTGGAGACCAGTCTGACCAACATGGTGAAACCCTGTCTCTACTAAAAAAATACAAAAATTAGCAGGGCATGGTGGCAGGCGCCTATAATCCCAGCTACTTGGGAGGCTGAGACAGGAGAATTGCTTGAACCTGTGAGGTAGAGGTTACTGTGAGCTGAGATTGAGCCATTGCTCTCTAGTCTGGGAGACAGAGCAAGACACTGTCTCAAAAAAAAAAAATAAAGTCTAGTATTTTCCAATAGCAAGACTCACAATTTGGTCTCTCACATTAAATTAAGTATACACATGGGATGTGCTCACAAATTTACTCAGAACCTGCCACTCCATCCATCACCAGAGGACCAGGAAAAGACAAGAAAGTCTGTAGTACTGCTGACTACTAGTTTTTACTGAAGCCCAGGCTTCACTTAATTAAAACTGTAATTTAGAAATACCTCAGTAGTTGAGGGGAGAGGGAATGTGTAGTTAAACAAAAGATAAAGCAAGCTTCAATGTCTAAATAAAATGACACAATATATGTTTAACAACAAAAAAAACTTTATTGAATTACAAATTTTAAAATGGATCACTTAATTTAAAAGTGAGATTATTTTATTCTGAAACTCATTCTTTCAAAAATGTACTTTAGTTTTGAAATGATAAAACAAAATCTTCAACTATGAACTGACAACATAGAAGTGGGTTGGTACTGGTGGCACAATTCTTAACATGGACATTTAAAAATGCTGCTTTCTGTATTACAACAAAATAAGAAACTGGAAAAAGGGAGCAAAGGAGAGTGCAAAGCATGTACGGAGGTCTTTCTACGGTTGTCTGACAGAATGATTCAGCATAAAATGTGGACTTTGCAACTGTGGCCTTTAAAGTGTGCTAGAGCAAGTTCCATAGTGCCCTAAGGAACCTATGTGAAAACAATGTTTGTCTTACTCCAAACAGAAAAAATGGTGCACACTTTAACAAAAAGAAAAACTTAATTGTAAGATCTGTACTGTAAAGCTACTTGCGATAGCCCATATATTCAGTTTGTTCAACAATCTCACTCATTGACAGAAAAAGTCAGCAAATAAGACTTAAGACAAAAATATTTTCTATCAATCTCCACATGAAAAGACCACAGATTTAATGATTTACACAAACCTTAAGATTAATCCTTGGTCAGTATAGATTTCCGAATGAAAATCTAATCATGAACTGTTTACAACAGCTACACTATACTAAGATGCTAAACATATTCTTTCCAGTATGTCTTCCTACAAGGGGAAAAAAATAGTGGGAAATTTTCATCTTTACCTGTGAGGGGATTTATGAAAAGCCTGCTAAACTACAACAGTATTCTTCTGCAAAACTAAAACACATTATAAAGTCAAACAGGTAAATTAACTGCAAAACCAAACTGATGTCAACAAAGCCTTGTTCCCAAAAGTAAAATCTATTAAGAACAAGTAATATACATGTACAAGAAGTTACAAGAAATGATGAGGGTTAGTTACAATGTAAAATAATATCTAATATTCAAAGCTTGCGAACATAATAATTAAAATCAAATTCATAAGCTAGCTCAAATATTATATACACTTTAGATAAGCTGGTCAAGTATTATTTGAATACACACCATATTTGGTAAACCTAAAATTATATTAACTTTTCTCCTCCTTTAATATTTGTAGCTACATGCCAATATGGAAGAAAATGTATTTTCATTTATGTATTAATAACAGAATTTCTACTGTGTATGTTTCACACTGTAAAAAAAGAAAAGTTAAGGTATATTTTCCTTTAAGAAAGAAAAAACATTGGCTGGATGGGGTGGCTCATGCCTATAATCCCAACACTTTGGGAGGCCAAGGCAGGTGGATCACCTGAGGTCAAGAGTTCGAGACCAGTGTGACCAACATGGAGAAACCCCATTTCTACTAAAAATACAAAAATTAGCTGGGCTTGGTGGCACATGCCTGTAATCCCAGCTACTCAGGAGACTGAGGCAGGAGAATCGCTTGAACCTGGGAGGCAGAGGTTGCAGTGAGCCAAGATCGTGCCATTGCACTCCAGCCTGGGCAATAGGAGCAAAACTTTATCTTAAAAAAAAAAAAAAAAAAAGAAAAGAAAAGAAAAGAAAAGAAAAAGAAAAAATATTGCCAGAAGTTTAACTGATAAAAGTTTAATATCAAGTTACTTATAAACATGGAAAAAATGTTTTGAAACAGATACCATACAATTATTACATAGTTTCCTTACAGATCTGAAACTAAGAAGGCATTTAAGGAAGAAATGTTAGGTCAAAACCAAAGTCTAACCCAAGGGATGTATGTTACTTTAAAAATCTGATTTGCAGGAAAACTAGTTGCTTGGCCTAGTTTAAAGCTAATTACAAAATCTGTTTTCTTAATGGTCCAGGCATTTTGCCAATTCTTCCAACTCAACAGAACTGTCAAAAAAGAAAAAACATTTTGTGAGACCTTTAAATACCAATAATGTACATTACGCATTTAATACAGCATACATCTGATATTGCTTTTAAAATAGATGCATTTTTAAAAACGTGTGGTATTTTTTCACACATGAAAATCACCTATCTTAAGTGTCTAACTTTCCCCACTTAGAACTACTAGGAACATGTAACTAAAGAACTTATATAAAACAATTTTAGCATTTTTATTAAATACCTCTTTATAATGTTTTAAAGGTAAAAAAAAATAACCATTCCAAATTTGAATTGTTAAAATATGCCACACCCTAGGCATCAGCTTTCTATCCTAAACTGAGCTTTCTTAAATTCAATTAAGTACTATGTCAAAACTTGTGTCACAAACCGAATGTATTCAAAACAAACTGCACTGCACATCTCATCACCAAAACAAAAATGATCCATCATGCAAAACAAATCCAAGAGAATAGGCCAAATTTGCTCAACAGGATTGAAAAAGAAGGTGAATGTCCTCCTAGACCAAGGACAGCTTCTGCAACCTCAGAAGAGGAGGAAATACTGTTTCAAGCCATGAAGACACTTTCAATAGCAGTAAATCTTTCCAGCTCAGAACTAATTCTTTTTATGTAATAAAATGGGTACTGGGCCGGGCACAGTGGCTCAAGCCTGTAATCCTAGCACTTTGGGAGGCCGAGGTAGGTAGATCACCTGAGGTGAGGAGTTCGAGACCAGCCTGGCCAACATGGCGAAACCCTGTCTCTAATAAAAATACAAAAATTAGCTGGGTGTGGTGGCACGTGCCTGCAATCCCAGCTACTTGGCAGGCTGAGGAAGAATTGCTAGAACCTGGGAGGCAAAGGCAGCAGTGAGCGGAGATAGCGCCACTGTACTCCAGCCTGGGCAACAGAGTGAGACTCTAATGCAAAAAAAAAAAGAATGAATAAAATAGGTACTGGCCCCAATCCCTTAAAGTGGAGTTGTTGAAGAAGCCAAATAGATATCCTCAATATGGTTTGGGACTCTGGCCCAAATGGCTTCTAGTTCACTTCATAGCTTCTAGTTAACTTCTGATTTTCAGAAAATGCTCTAAGCTAAGGGAATACTTCAAAAAGCATTAAACTGAAAAGTCTATGTAAGTATAAATGAAAAACAAAAGAATTTTGTACATACTTCAGAAAAACTAATAAAAATAGCCAGCATTTTTAGAACACCAACAATTATCAGGCACACTAAATATATTATCTCTACTCTTCACAATTGGAAATGAAAGGTACTATTCACATTTAATATGTAAGAACAATATAGCTCAGTAATGGGAAGTGGCAAGGGAGTTCAAAATCAGTCTGTATGATTCCAAAGACTACATTCCTACCATGTAAGCCTCTGAACCTCACCATCCTTATCATTCACATCTACAATAATAATTAAAATGTTTTTAATACTGATGTGTATTTCTGCTTCCAAATTTAAATTTTACTCTTTTGGTTCACAGAATCACTCAAGAATGAATCATTTAAATAATATAAACTTGCCTGTGTGGGACTAATTTCAAGAGCACACAGGCAATATGAAGGCTTTAGTGAAAAGCCTACCAAACCATGTCAGTGCTCATCTGTAATTTCTAAAATAAACACTAAAATCATTGGGTTTGATTTCAATAAGTGGAAAAATTTTTCTTCCAAAATCAAAATCTACTAAAACTGGTAATTAAACACGCACAGATTTTCTGGAAGTAAAAGAGTCATAACAACGTAATGAATATAGGATATATAGGACAGTGATATAATAATTGAACAGTTAAGATTCACTCCCTCTTTCCTGCACCAAAACAAATAAAGATAGTAAAGTCAAGTTAATAGCCTTTATTTCTAGTAGGATACAAAATAGCATATTCCATTACAAGTAGGGACTACAAGAGTACTGGATAGTGTGAGCATATCTGTATATATTTAGATATCTAGATGGACCTAGGAAAAGACCAGAAGAAATCATTCTATTATAAGTGAGTATAATATGAATCCGACAGGGTACATACCTTCCATCGATTTCCACATTCATTACAGACAACAAATGTTGTCATTGGTTCATCAGCACTACGGGTTTGCACCTGCAGGAAAATTAAATTAAATATACTTTTTCCAGTACTGTAAAAAAACCCCACCCAAATAAGAATGTTATACATAAAGATACAGAATATTTAATAAATATGATGGTGCCACAATAAAATGAATAAAAGTCTGAAACAAGTTCAAATAAGCTAAATAATGTCAACAGAGCACATTTCCAAACATCACTTTCCTAAGTCCTTCTTTGTCTTTCCTGTTTAATATATCCCAGATAAGTGGGGAAATCTTCTAAAGTCATACCTTATACTTCTTACAAACAGCTAATAAATATTTTTAAAATTCATCAGTAAGTTATTTGGATTTCAAAAACAATTTCATCAGTAAGAAGCACAGAAATGAATAAATTTAAACATATGTCAATTTTCTCTTACAAAATAACAAGACGTAAAAAAACATAACTGCCACAACCTTTCTAAAAGTTAGGCAGCATTCTTTGTAACCTAGAAACTTGGTATCTAAACTATTTCTAGGATGGTAATTAAAAACGCAAAAATACAAAGAATGTTTGAAGCGTATAATTTTGTAACAGCACAACACTAAAAACAAATATCCAACAGGGAAATAACATAAAGTAAGAGTATATCCACCTGATGAAATACTACACAGCCAGAAGAATGCTTACAAAGGTTTTCTTGTTTGTCTGCTGTTGGTTTTAAACAATTAAGAGGGAGAGAACTCCAGATGTATTTGGTTCCTTCAAGCATTTGCTCAGCAAGATTAAAAGTTAAAAATGGCACCAAACAAAAAACACTCCGTGACTAACAGTTAGGCAGGCTGCAAAGGACCTGAGATTTTGAGAAATGCCAGAAAAGAATCAAAAAGCCAAAACTGGCCAGGCATGGTGGCTCACATCTGTAATCCCAGCATTTTGGGAGGCCATGGTGGATGGATCACTTGAGGTTGGGGGTTCAAGACCATCCTAGCCAACATGTTGAAACCCCCATCTCTACTAAAAAAAATAAGAAAAATTAGCCAGGCCCTGGGGGCACCTGTAATCTCAGCTACTCGGGATGCCGAGGCAGGAGAATCACTTGAACCCAGGAGGCAGAGGTTGTGGTGAGCCGAGATCACACCACCGCACATCAGCCTGGGCAACAGAGGGAGACTCTGTCTCAAAAAAAAAAAAAAAGAAAAGACCAAAACAGAGCAGTTTCAAGCAAGAACAAAACAAAAAGTCAAATAACTAGATGTTACTTCTTTTTGAATTGAAAACATCTCCTAAAATATACAGAAATAGTAGGAGAGAGATTTACTGGGAACAAAGCTACCTTTCAAGAATATGAATAAAATCTTATTCTGAACATAAATAAAGTTTTTATTCATAGATGTTCTTAATTGTGGATGACTGACAAATCTGTATTGTATATTCCTACAGATTAGTCATAATTAAATCAAATTACCCAAATTGTAGGGTTTATAAAATGTTTATGTTTTATGAAGTTCAATTTTAACTAGTGGAAAGTTACTCTAGCTTTTTTTTTTTTTTGTATTGTTTTGTTTTTGGAATGAAGTTTCATTCCTGTTGCCCAGGCTGGAGTGCAATGATGCAATTTTGGCTCACTGCAACCTCCACTTCCTGGGTTCAAGTAATTCTCCTGCCTCCGCCTCCCAAGTAGCTGGGATTACAGGTATGTACCAACATGCCCAGCTAATTTTTTGTATTTGTAGTAGAGATGGGGGTTTCATCACATTGGCCAGTCTGGTCTTAAATTCCTGACCTCAGGTGATCTGCCTGCCTTAGCCTACCAGAGTGTTGGGATTACAGGTGTGAGCTACAAAGTCTGGCCTACTCTCACTTTTTAACAAGGCTGTTTACAATTCCATGTAAAAATAGCAGCAGTATCTACTCTTAAGTTTGTTTAAAGGTTAGGGATAATTTGAAAAAAAAAAAAAAAAAAAAAAAAAAACCATAATACATTAATTTCTCTGAAAACAGGAGGCAGATTTAAACAGCTATTAAAATAATTTATTTTTCTAGCCATAAAGGATGGAAGTAAAGAACTTCTGTTTATCATATTACGTATAGTTTATGAAATTAATTTGTAAATAAAAGAGCAAAATATTTTTATTATTTTTGTATAGCACTGATTTATGTCATGCAACTCAAATAGACTATTCTCTGGAAAAAGAAAAAAAATGCTTACATTATGATACCTAAGTTAAAAGAAGAGTGTAAAATAGTTTTAACAGTATTTAATTCCAACTATACATAGAAAAAAATCACAAAATATTGCAGATAACAAAATACTGATAACTGTTCTCTTTGGAAGGCAGCTTAATGACTTAAATTTATTACTCATGTTTTTCTGTATTTTCCTAATTTCCTATAGGCAGTTACTACTGCAATTCCACTGCTGGGTACACAACCAAAAGAAAGGAGGTAGAGTCTCAAAGAGGTATCTGTACACACAAGTTCACAGCAGCTTATTCACAATAGCCAAAAAATAGAAGCAACCCAAGTGTCCATCAACAGATGAATGAATATATAAAAAGTGGTATGAACATACAATGGAATATTATTCAGCCGTAAAAAGGAGGGAAAGTCTGACACATGCTACAACACAGATAAACCTTGCAGACATTATGCTAAGTGAAACAGGCGCCAGTCACAGTAAGACAAACATTCTATGATTCTACTAATGCAAAGTATTTGGCATAGTCAAATTCTGAGAGATAGAAAGCAGAATGGTGGTTGTTGGGCTGGGCAGAGGAGGAGTGGGGAGTTATTGTTTAAGGGGTAAAGAGTTTCAGTTCTGCAAGAGGAAAAGCGTTCTGGAGACTGGATACAAAGCACTGTGAATGCTCTACTACTGAACAGTTCACTTAAAAATTACTGGTTAAGATGGGAAATTTGAGGTCATACATATTCTACCACAACTACTTTTTTTTAACTTAAAAAGAGAACCCAGGAAGAAAAAAAGCTGGCCGGGCATGGGCATGGTGTCTCATGCCTGCAATCTCAGCACTTTGGAAGGCTGAGGCGGGCGGATCACGAGGTCAAGAGATCAAAACCATCGTGACCAACATGGTGAAATCCCATCTCTACTAAAAATATAACATTAGCTAGGTATGGTGGCGCACAGCTATAGTCCCAGCTACTCAGGAGGCTGAGGCAGAAGAATTCCTTAAACCCAGGAGGCAGAGGTTGCAGGGAGCCAAGATTGCGCCATTGCACTAGAGCCTAGTGACAGAGCGAGACTGTCTCAAAAAAAAAAAAAAAAAAAGAGAAAGAGAAAAAAAGCTAACATGGTTTTTAAAAACTTTATAAATTTCTGAAGTTCTAAACTGAAGAAAATTGCCAGAACCAAAGGCCTCAAAACCAGAAAGGTTATTTCTCTAAATGAAGATGACAAAGCATTATTAAAGTTAAATGTTATTCTTCAGTTTAAGTTGTGGCAGGAACCTAAATACTAACAATGCTGAATTTTAAATACGGTATATTGAAATGCAGTGTGAGATGATAAAATCCCAGTTTATCACCACTTCCAAGATCAAAGCTTCATGACACCAGTAAACTATTAACATGACTTCCTACTCAAAGGCCCAAAGGAAGACAAAGCAGCACCATCCTCAGAACAGCAGTATTCTGCTTAGTTAAGGCCTTGAGATAAAAATGGTTTGAAACCTCCTGCTATACTTTACATATACTTAATTCTGATATCTAGAGCCCCAAAAGTAGACATGAGGAAGCTTTTGCTCTGTGGGAAAAATTTTAATCCCCTCTGGGGTACATAGTAACCAAGAGTTAAACACTTACTTCTTTTACATCTGTTATTTCCATAAGAACTTTGAGAGTTTTCTTTTTTTCTTTTTTTTGGAGACTAAGTCTCACTCTGTCACCCAGGCTGGAGTGCAGTGGCGTGCGATCTTGGCTTACTGCAACCTCTGCCTCCTGGGTTCAAGTAATTCTCCTGCCTCAGCCTCCCAAGTAGCTGGGACTATAGGCACCTGCCACCATGCCCAGCTAATTTTTTTGTGCTTTTAGTGGAGACGGAGTTTCACCATGTTAGCCAGGATGGTCTCGATCTCCTGACCTCGTGATCCACCCATCTCGGCCTCACAAAGTCCTGGGATTACAGGTGCTCACCGCGCCTGGCGGAACTTTGAGAATTTTCTATCTGAAGAGAACACTTTGCGATTCTAAGAAAATCATACTGGCTTCAACTTTAGGCTGGGTTATTTCTGCTAAAAGAAACAAACTTGATATTTATGACTTTTTGTCTTAGCTATTTGTAATTTGATTATATATCACTTCTACTTTGTACATTTTAAAGATACTTTAGCTTTTAAATAACTTTCTATTTATACTTAATATTTTCTATATGGCATTTTTAGGGTACAATTTTTATTGCTAAGATATTTCTACCTGGCTAAAATAAAACAGAGTAATTTGGTAAGGCATGGTGGCTCATGCCTGTAATCCCAGCACTTTGGGAGGCCAAGGCAGGTGGATCACGACGTGAGGAGTTCAAGACCAACCTGGCCAACATGGTGAAATCCCATCTGCACTAAAAATACAAAAATTAGATGGGCGTGGTAGAAGGCACCCGTAATCCCAGCTACCGGGGTGGCTTAGGCAGGAGAATCATTTGAACACGGGAGGCGGAGGTTGCAGTGAGCCGAAATCGGGCCATTGCACTCCATCCTGGGCAACAGAGTGAGACTCTGTCTCAAAAAAAAAAAGAGCAATTCAAACTCAGAATTTTGCCAAACCACTTTTATCAATGTTGATGCATTTTAGTACCAATCAGTAGTAAAACTGCTACAAAATGAAACAGGAAATACCCAACTGTGACTAAATGAGATTTCAAAAAGGTAAAAGACTTCAGATTGGCTAAATGAAGTATATCTGAAAATGGAGATTACATGCCTATAAAAAGTAGAAACGAGGCAGAAACTCATATAACATTCTACCATATGTGTTTAGAAAAAGGAAAACAAAAATATTTGCATGTATACATGTAAAATACCTAGGAAGTTCCACAACAAACTGGTAACCTTGCTTTACTTCCAGGGAGGGAGAACGAGGTGGCCACAGGCAAAAGTGGGAAGAGAACTTTCTACTTACAACCTTTTGTACCTTTTGAATTTTTAACTGCAAACATAACTACCAAGAAAATTTTAAAGTAAAGCCTCCTTTAGTTTAGTGATGCTATTTTTGCTTAATTTTCTATCATTGAGAAAATTCAGTTTCCCAAATCTACTGTCTGAAACATAGTAAGTTGTCCCTTAAGGAGATAATTTAGTTTATAGCAGATGATATAGCACAAAAACTTATTTGGCAAATGAAATTAAGCCAGTCATAAAAACAATTTTCACACATGCACATGCAACCAAAATAACTATAACATGCTTTTCAGCTGTTGAAGAATATCATACATGAATGTAAGTTATCAGTATTACAAAAAGGAACAAATTTTCCAGAAGCCAGTTAAGCTGAAAGTACCCATAAACCATGTGAGGGAGAGTGAAGAACTTTCCTTAAAGTATATGGTCTGGCAAAATAAAAAGGATTCTGGCCAATTTACCTAGTAACCAATACAACTATTTATAAACTGTTAAAAGAACATGGTCATTTTATTCATTCTTATATTTTATAAGTTGTATTTGACCTAGCTTTCATAGTAATTATTTCCATGAGAGTATAAATATATCAACTTATTTTTAGTTAACTAGAATCAGTATTAAGAAAGCATTCTGGCCAGGCACAGAGGCTCATGCTGGTACTCCCAGTACTTTGGGAGGCTGAGGTGAGAGGACCATTTGAGTCTGGAAATTGGGATCAGCCTGGACAACACAGCAAGACCCCATCCCCACCAAAAAAAAATTTTTTTTTAAAGAAATCATTCTTACACTTAAGAAAGAAATCTGATCTCCTCTTGAATTAGTCCCCAGTTATCCACAGGCTCTCTTTCCATGGTTTCAGTTACCAGTGGTCCAAAAATATTAAGTGAAAAAATTCCAGAAATAAACAACTCATCGGTTTTAAACTGCATGTTGTTCTGAGTAGCATGAGGAGAGTCTGTACTATCCTACCCTGTCCCACTTGGGATATAGATCACCCCTTTGTCCAGTGTGCATCACTGTATATGCTACCTACCCATTAGTCATCCATATCATCAGGGCTCGATGAGGCAGGACCACCCGAAGCAGATGAGCCTCCTTCTGATGGATCATCAGAAGGTCAACAGCAGCCTAACACTTAGTCACAATGATGACATCATTCATTTTGCTTCATCTCATCACATGAACAGGGGTGAGTGCAGTGCAAAATATTGTTGTGAGAGACAGAAACTACATTCACATTACTCACATAACAGTAACTTGTTATAACTGTTCAATTTGATTAACAGTTATTGTTGTGAATCTCTTCCTATGCCTAATTTATAAATAAAACTTATCAGTATGTACATATAGGAAAAACATGGTATACATAGGGTTAGGTGCTATCTATAGTTTCAGGCATCCACTCAGGGTCTTAGAACATATCCCTCCATGGATAAGTGAGGGACTATCATGCTGGTAATTATCTTTGCTATTTATTTTAAAACAGGAATGGCAAGCATTCTTAATATAAAGTAAGAATCTATAAACAATCACAAACCTGTGTGTAAGTGCAATTCTTCTTTTTACATTTGCCACATGTGAACAAGTCAGTCTGGGTCCCACCAGTCTTGGCCATCTGATGCTCTCTGATGGCTTCTTTGGTCAAGTTTTTCCGCATCTCTTTCAGCTCATCACTAGCCATTTCCTATTAGGGAGGGGGCAATACCACTCAGTTATAGACACCTTCTATATATATCCTGAATGCTTTTATGTTCATTTAGCCTAATAATAAAACACATATCAACCTTTTAAAGTTTTAAAAGCATTAAGATTTTTCTTCACAGGCCTTTTAAGAGTTTAATTTCTTTTAAAATTTTTTCTTTTTTCTTTTACTTTTTTTTTTTTTTTTGAGACGGAGTCTCGCTCTGTCGCCAGGCTGCAATGCAGTGGTGAGATCCTGGGTCACTGAAATCTCTGCCTCCCAGTTTCAAGTGATTCTGCTGCCTCAGCCTCCCAAGTAGCTGAGACTACAGGCATGCACCACCATGTTCAGCTAGTTTTTTGTATTTTTAGTAGAGATGGGGTTTCACCGTGTTAGGATGGTCTCATCTCCTGACCCCATGACCTGCCCGTCTCAGCCTCCCAAAGTGCTGGGATTACAGGCATGAGCCACCACACCCGGCCTTAAAATTTTTTCAGAGCCTTAAAAGTTTGTATGTGAAAATTAGATTTAAGTATTATTTAAAGTCTAATGAAACCATCTTTGCAAAGATTATGACAGTGAGCGAAATCTAACATGGCTGACTCCATCTTGCTTCTAGTGTCACAGGCTGGCTATCTTCCCATTCCTGGGCCCAGGCCAAGCTAACCATGGGAGAAATTTAGTTTATAGTTTAACTTTGATACAAGGATGATAACAGTCCTTCCCTAAAACCGATCCCTCCTCGTTCAGAGCCTGAGATCACCTTTGCAAGACTAACGAAAGGCCAGATTAGGATTATGGGAAGGGCCTGAACTCTGCTAAAATATACACATAGTTTCTATAATCCCTCACTGCTCAGGAGTCATGTGGCCAGAGGGCACAAGGTATGTGACTTCCCTAATTGCTCCTATAGGTAACATTATTATTGTAGAACCTCAGATTGTTTTTTTTGAGATGTTTTTTCAGACTGAGCCCTCTAGAACTCAGGCCCGTCACCCAGAGGTACAGAAGGACCAGTTCCCATATCCTTGGGATTATATCCCCAACCAATCAGCACAACCCATTCCCTAGTCACCTAGGAATAGTCACCACCAAACTATCCTTGAAAAACTCTAATCTCCAAGTCTTCAGGGTAACTGATTTGAGTAATAACTTCATCTCCTGCATGACCAGCCTTGAGTTAATAAAACTTTCTCAACCGCAAAGGGTAATCTCAGTGAATTGGTTCTGTCTGTGCAGTGACAAGAAGAAGCTGTCAGGTGATTATACTATGAACAATGTAAACCTACAGCAATGAGTACCTCTAGTATCCAGACTACAGCCTCTAATACCACTGCCTCCACCCCACCCTCAAAAGAAGTCAGGAATCTCTGGAGGAATGTCCGATTCCAGTTTTGAGGCAAGAAATGCACAGAATATGCCAGGGTCATCTTCTCGTGCCAGTTTTTACTAGCTACAGTCATACTTTTCTTTATCTTACTCTGCGCTATTATGCTTCATTTTATTGTACTTTGCAGACACTGCATTTTTTTTTTTTTTATAAAATTGAAGGTATGCAGCAACACTGTGTTGAGCAAATCGATTGGCATTATTTTTCCAACAGCATGCGCTCATTTCACGTCTCTGTGTCACATTTTGGTAATTCTCACAATATTTCAAGCATTTTCACTATTATTATATCTGTTAGGTGATCTGTGATCAGTAATTTCTCACGTTACTATCATTGTTTTGGCGGCACCACTAACTGTGACCATACAGGATGGTAAACTTGACAAATGTGTGTGTTCTGACTACCCCATTCTTTCCCTGTTTCTCTATTTCTCTTTGGGCCTCTCTACTCCCTGAGACATCACAATACTGAAATTAGGCCAATTAATAACTCTGGAATGGCCTCTAAATATTCAAGGACAAGGAAGAGTCAACATGTCTCTCACTTTAAATCAAAACCTAGAAATGACTAAGTTTAAAAAGGAAAGCATGTGGAAAGCTGGGATAAGCCAGAAGGTAGGTCTCTTCTACCAGTTAAAGTGCTACTCCAGTGAACACATGAATAATGATCAAAATAGCCTTGCTACTGAAATGAAAACGTTTTAGTGGCCAGAACGAAGATCAAACCAGCCACAACATTCCCTTAAGCCAAAGCCTAATCCAGAACAAGGCCTTAACTCTTCAATGTTGCGAGAGATGAGGAAGCTGCAGAAGAAAAGTTAGAGGATACAGGATGCAGGTTCGTGAGGTGTAAGGAAAGAACACAACACAGTATAAAATGCTAGGTGAAGTAGCAAGTGCTGATGGAGAAGCTGCAGCAAGTTATCCAGAAGACCTAGCTAAGGTCACTGATGAAGGTAGCTATTCTAAACAACAGGTTGTCAATGTTGATGTAAATTGGAAGAGGGTGACATCTAGAACTTTCATAGCTAGAGAGAAGAAGTCAATGCCTGGCTTCAAAGCCTCAGGACTCTCTTGTTAGGGGTTAAGGCATCTGGTGACTTCAGATGGAAGCCAATGCTCATTTACCATTTTGAAAATCTTAGGGCCCTTAAGAGTTATGCTACATCTACTCTGTGTTCTATAAATGAAACAACAAAGCCTGGATGACAGCACATCTATTTAAAGCATGATTTACTGAATATTATAAGCCTACTGCTCAGAAAAAAGACTTCTTTGAAAATATTCCTACTCATTGACAATGCACCTAATCATCAATATACCTAGTCATCCAATAGCTCTGATGGAGATACATAAGGACATTAATGTTATTTTCATGCCTGCTAACAACAACATTCATTCTGCAGTTCATGGATCAAGGAGTAATTTTGACTTTTTTTGAGACAGGGTTTCACTCTGCTGCCCACATTGGAGGCGCAATCTCAGCTCACTGAAACCTCCACCTCTCAATTGATCCTCCCACCTCAGCCTCCTGAGTAGCTGGGATTACAGGAACATGCCCCCATGCCCAGCTAATTTTTTTTTTTTTTTTGGAGAAATGGGAATTCACCATGTTGCCCAGGCTGGTCTCCAACTCCTGGCCTCAAGCAATCTGCCCATTTTGACCTCCCAAACTGCTCAGATTATAGGCATAAGCCACCATGCTAAGCTGACTTTCAAGTTTTATTATTTCAGAAATACATTTTGCAAGGCTGTAGCTCCCCAAGAAAAAGTAATTCCTCAGATAGATCTAGGTAAAGTAAACTGAAAAGCTTTTGGAAAGGATTACCATCCTAGATGCCATTAGGAACATTAGTGATTCATTGGGAAGAGGTAAAAATATCAACACTTAGAAGAGTTTGAAAGAAGTTGACTCCAATTATCGTGGATGACTTTGAGGGGTTTGACTTCACTGGAGTAAGTAACCACAGAGGGGCACGGTGGCTCATGCCTGTAATCCCAACACTTTGGAAAGCCAAGGCGGATGGATCACCTGAGGTCAGGATTTCGAGACCAACCTGGCCAACATGGTGAAACCCCGTCTCTACTAAAAATACAAACATTAGCTGGGTGTAGTAGCAGGCGCCTGTAATCCTAGCTACTCGGGAGACTGAGGCAGGAGAATTGCTTGAACCCGGGAGGCGGAGGTTGCCGTGAGCCAAGATCACACCATTGCATTCCAGCCTGGGTGACAACACCGAAACTCCATCCCCCACTCACCCCTACCCCAAAAAAGAAAGTAACTGCAGATGTGGTGAAAAAATCATGAGAAGAAAAATTAGAAGTAGAACCTGAAGATGTGACTGAGTTGCTTCAATCTTATAATAAAAGCTAAACAGCTCTTGTGGATGAGCAAAAAGTGATTTCTTGAGTTGGAACCTATTTCTGGTGAAGATACATTGTTGAAAGTACAACAAAGGATTTAGAATATTACATCAACTTAGTTGAAAAAGCAGCAGTGGCATTTGATAGCACTGACTCCAATTCTGAAAGAACATCTACTATGGACAAATGCTATTAAACAGCATCAAAAGCTACAAAGAAGTATTTCATGAGTATTTGCTCCATCAATACAGCAAACTTCACTGTTGTCTTATTTTACAAAATTATCACAGCTACCTCTACCTTCAATAACCACTACGCTATAATCAGTCAGCAGCTGTCAACATACAGGCAATTCCCTTTTCCAGCAGAAATAGCATGACTTGCTGAAGGCTCAGATGATCATTAGCAATTTTTGGCAAGGTGTACATTGGTTAGCAAGGTATAAGGTATACACTGTTTTCTTAGATATAATGCTATTGCATTTAGTAGATTATAGTATAAGCATAACTTTTATATATACTGAAAAGTCAAAAAATTCGTGTGACTCACTTTATTGCAATATTCACTTTATTGCAGTAGCCCAATCCAAACTTGCAGTATCTCTGAGGTATGTTTGTATACAGAAGAAAAATTCACCCTCTTGAATGTTTACTAAAACAGTGAAATTATAGATACAACATAGCTATTATCTATGAACAACCATGTCTATAAACAGCAAGCTATGAATTTCATTTTTTTCCATAATTCCCTATAAGAAGAATCACTTGAACCTGGGAGGCAGAGGTTGTAGTAAGCTGAGACAGCCATTGCACCCCAGCATGGGCAACAAGAGCAAAAACGAAAGAAATAATCAGTAAGATGGGACCAATTTTATAGTGTTTAACCATGAAAAAGGATTGGCACTCACAAAGCGTACTTGCAATTACAGATTCAACTCTCTGGTTCTACAAGAATTCATAAAAAGTAAAACACTCTCATTTTTGGACAATAATTTAATGTAATAATTTTCCCTAAAAGCATGGAAACAGCTTTGTTTGCTCAAAGTATTGATGATAAAAAATACAATTACCTTAAGTATTTGTCTAGTATATATCAGAATAACTAATGGCTATTTATTACATATGCAGTATTTATATAGTACTCTATGATGATAATACGCTTTACACTTCACAACATGGAATCACATTACAGAAACCTCAGAGTCATGCATACTCACCTCTGCTGTCATTCTAGCAAATAAGTCAGGAGGAATATTCCCACAGAGAACATTTTTCCTTAAATTTGGATTCTTTGCATCTTTAAGATTTGATATCCTACTTCGTACTCTATTTTTGTATTTCATGTCTGTATTCCTTATTTCTTGATATATAGGTACGAAGCCATTAAGGAAAAAAGGTAAAATTATAAAAAATAAGATCACTTCCTGCCCTCATTCTGCCAAAATAAGAATTCCTGAAATTTCTAAGCAGTTCACAACAACTGTTTCCAATTTAGACTATGTTAAAAACAAGGTACTACATCTAATTCCTTGAACTGAAATGGGCAAATAATAGCAATATTACTTTTCCACTATAAACTAGTTGTTTTTTTTGGGTGGGGCAGGGAGGGGAAGAGACTCTCGCTCTGTCACCTAGGCTGGAGTGCAGCGGCGCAGTCTCAGCTCACTGCAACCTCCACCTCCTGGATTCAAGCAATTCTCCTGCCTCAGCCTGGGATTACAGGTGTGCCACCATGCCTGGCTAATTTTTGTATTTTTAGTAAAGACAGGTTTTTACCATGTTGGCCAGGCTGGTCTCCAACTCCTAACCTCGGTGACTCGCCCGTCTTGGCCTCCCAAAGTGCTGGGATTACAGACACGAGCCACTACGCCCAGACTAGTCATGTTTTATTTCCTAAAGGTTTAGTGCCAGCACCATGCAAGTCAACAGCATTTCAAAAAGTAACTCAAGTACTCAACGTTAGAAAGCATGTGTTTTAAAAGGAGCTTGAACTTATTCAAACTTTACTTGTTCAAATCTGAATTCTACTAAGGAACCTGAAAGTCTCTCTGGTCACGCAGTTCCCATAGGGTCTCTGAGAAGAGACTGTTCAGCATGGTTGTGGGGATTCATCTCCTCCCCTAGCTCAGCAGGAGCTACCTAGCAGGCTCTTTTCATCTGCAGAAGAGGCCACTGCCAAAGCTGAACCCTGGAGCTCCCTTCCTAACAACCAGGAATTTCCTCAACCAGGACAGTCCCACGTTACACAGCTGCCTAGATGTTCCAGGCCCCTACCCACACACAGTCCCCCTCTCCTGGAGCCCTTTCCTAGTGCTCAGTATGAACACGCTTCCTCTGGGATAATGAGCTCAAGTGACTGTGTGAACTGAGGTCCTGAGAAGTCTTCACATTTACATGTGTGTGTGCTTTCCATGACCTTCTGCACAACTTAAATTCAGACATTACATTCTCTATATACAAGGCAGAAAAAATTTAAATACCATCAATACTGTACTTTACTTTTAAATAACAAAAAGAAAAAACAAGACAAATAAAAGGGTAAAGATGTTCCACTCCTTTCCAAGAAAACAAAACATTCAAGATAGAAACTGAAGAATAAGACTGAATTCTATACCAGCAGGAAAAATTGTAATTAAGCTAGGAAATTACTTAAAACAATTACGAGTATATACAAAAAGGATATCTTCTTCAATTTGAGATCCTAATTCTTCCTCATCAGCTCCAATTGCAATGTAGTCATCTAAAAACAGGCATAAAGAATTGTCAAGTTATTATAACAGATTAAAAGAAAATTCTAATACCAGGTAATTAAATTGCATTTCTGTTTCTTCAACCCCATTTGCCTGACATAAAGAAGCCAGTCAGTTTAGCTTCATTAGAATCTGGTCTCTTCTAAACCATGTCCTGTGCTGTAAAAGAAAAAAAAAAAGAAAGAAAGAAAGAAAAAAAAAGAATCTGGTCTCTTCACTGTCCACTAGACTTCCTTTTCTGGGATTCACCTGATACCCACAGTGCTCCTGCACTGATGACTTCTGATCCCTCAGGCACGGGAAGTAACTGATCTAGCAGGCAACTCCTCTTTCATAACTCCATAAATTCTGGCTGCTCCAGTAGAGGGTAGAGAAAGTTACAGAAAGAACTGTCTTGTCTCCTGCTACTCAGGCTTCAATGCAAAGAAACCATCCATTTAATCTGCCAATCACATATACACACTCCTATACAAATATTCAAAAGGATAGAAGGAAATAAACTAGGAGAATATATATACATACATATTCTATACATATACATACATATATATGTATATGTGTGTGTATGTATATACGTGTGTGTGTGTGTGTGTGTGTATTTGAGGGGAGAGAGAGACAGTAAGGAAATCAAAGTAGAAAGGGCAGAGTAAGGAAAAAAAAAAACAGGTCAAACTAGCTATGGTCCAGAATAAGAAAAAAGAAAACGGATGAATTTGTATAAGATGACAAATATTCCTGTATATAAAACTTTAAAGCCAAAACATTACTTGTTAAGACTGGATCCTTTCAAATCAAATTAAGCTCCCACAAATAAATCAAGCCCCCTCCCTTTTTAAAGTAGAAAATGGAATTATTAATACAAAACTATATGTCATACTATTTATTTAATAATTCAGTATTGTTAATTCTCAATATAAGATCAGGGTACATAGTTTGCTGATTAAATTGTGGGGAAACAAAAGATTTGTGAGAAAAAAGTGTACATTACTATGAAATCAGGGAAAACATCCATGTATTAGAGGGAATCTATTTCTTGCAATTACACTGTAACAAGCAAATGCCCCAGTATTCCTCCTCCTCTCCCACTTAACAGATCACTATCAGCAACAACTTCTCCCTGAGCTAAGCAGCACTGGGTGGCTATGCACAGGGTGACACTCATCAAACAGCAATATGGCAGCGGTTGGTGGTGATGACCAAAGGGCTGAGAAATAAAACAACATGCACTGGACTTACCTCCTGTTCGAAGAGCTGCCGCAAGCATCTCCCTACACTTCAACCGCACAGAATCAGAAGTGCTGGGTGCCCGAGGAAAGGATGAAACGTAAGTATCTCGGGCATTTCTCTCATCCTTTCTGTTGCTTACATTGCCACTGGAGGTACTGAAATACGCACACAGAAACACCCCAAAAAGAAATCAAAAACAATCCTCTCAAAGTAACAATATTACCATCATGCAAACTTACTATCATAGGGCCTTCAAAAATGACACAGTATCTCAGTGGCCTTTATGTGAGGGAAAATACATTATCTGCATACAGATTAAACAGAAGTTAAAAATTTTACAATTTAGTAAAGAGACTAGGCTCATGTCTTTTTAAAAACCCAACTAAACATGTTATCTTGATTCTCCTTTTAAATATTAAGCAATTTTTTTCTTTTTCTGAGACAAGAGTCTTGCTCTGTCACCCAGGCTAGAGTGCAATGGCACAGGTCTTGGCTCACTACAACCTCCACCTCCCAGGTTCATGCGATAGATTTGCCTCAGCCTCCCGAGTAGCTGGAATTACAGGCGCTCTCCACCACGCCTGGCTAATTTTTTTATTTTTAGTAGAGACGGGGTTTCACCATGTTGGCCAGGCTGGTCTCCAACTCCTGACCTCGTGATCTGCCTGCCATGACCTCCCAAAGTGCTAGGATTACAGGCATGAGTCACCACGCTTGGCCAATATTAAGCGATATTTTTAATAGAGAAAATACCCATTACAGTTCAGTACAATAAATGAAAAGCAATGATCTTGGTATGAGAAGAGGGATGAAGGGATGAGACAAGAGAAGGACAGCTTTCAACTAAAACTAGAGACAGCAAGCTCAGAGAGAGGGAGGGAGGAAGAGAAAGAAGGGGAGAGAGAGAGAGGGAGGGAGAGAGAAAGGGAGGGAGGGACATGACAGACAGACAGAGAGAGAGAGAGAGAGAGAGAGAAAGAGAGAGAGAGAATGCTTGAAAAACCCTGTTTCGCTGGGCATGGTGATTCATACCTGTAATCCCAGCACTTTGGGAGGCCGAGACCTGCGGATCAGTTAAGACCAGTGGAGTTTGAATCCAGCCCGGGCAAAATGGTGAAACCCCATCTCTACTAAAAATACAAAAATTAGCTGAGCGTGGTGGCATGCACCTATAATTCCAGCTACTTGGAAGGTTGAGCCAGGAGAATCACTTGAACCCAGGAGGCGGAGGTTTCAGTGAGCCAAGATTGCACCACTATACTCCAGCCTGGGTGACATAGTGAGACTCCAACTCAAAAAAGGAAAAAGGAAAACCTCGTTCCACTTAGACAGTGAGGTCCCCAGTGAGACAAATATCATGTGTACAGATGAGTCGTGAGGCTGCAAAATAGTGTGTTTCTCCCCAGAAACATCACCTCAATATGAACATTTGAGCAGTTTTATAATTTTCCAGTCAACCTAATCCTTTCAATTGCTTCTGAATAGCTTCTTATGTTGGATTATCTCTAAAATGGGTTCTTTCCAACATAATCTTCCTGGTTTCAATTAAGCTTTATTTCATTGAGGATAGCTGCCATAACCCTTTCCAAAGGTTGATTAAATCATCCACCATCCACAGATGCGACTTGCTGCAATACTGCAAGAACATATCCCCTTGCCTTCTCTCTAAAACATAACCACTGTTAGACTTCACAAACAGGTCACTGTGGGTAAGATCGTCATTAGTACCTTCTAAGTTTAGTCACTTCCTTTTTAAAGCCTTCTCTGATTTCTCCCTGTATTCCCAAAATATTGATTCACACAGGTTTGTGTATGATGACTTTTCATACACTTTGTCTCTATCAGACTGAGTTTCTTAAGAGCAAAAACTAGGACTTTTCTTTGTATTTTCATTATGTGGCATAATGTCTGTCAGTGATAAATAAATGAGCAAACCAATGTTTAAAAACCCATTTCTTTTTCTTTTTTTTTAAGACTCCAGCCTGAGCAACTGAGCAAGACTCTTCACAGTGGTGAACAGAGCAAGAATGCTGTGCAGTGGTGCCATGATAGCTCATGCAGCTTTGAGCTCCTGGGCTCAAGCAATCCTCCTGCCTCAGCCTCCTGAGTAACTAGGACTACAGGTGCACGCCACCATGCCCAGCTAATTTTAAAAATATTTTTTGGCTAGGCAAGCTGGCTCATGCCTATAATCCCAGGAGTTCAAGAGCAGCCTGGACAACATAGAGTGACACAGGGTGTACAAAAAAAGTTTTAAAAATTAGCCAAGCATGGTGGCATGCACCTGTGTGGTCCTACCTACTTGGGAGGCTGAAGTGGGAGGCTCACTTGACTCTGACAGGTTGAGGTTGCAGTCAGAGAACCTTGACTATGCCACTGCACTCCAGCCTGGGTAAAAGAGCAAGGCTCTGCCTTGAAAAAAAAAAAAAAAAAATTTGGGGTCTCTCTATGTTGTCCAGGCTGGTTTCGAACTCCTGACCTCAAATGATAATCCCGCCTTGGCCTCCTAAAGTGCACAAGCCACCATGCCAGGCCCCAAAACCCACTTTTTTTTTTTTTTGAGACAGAATCTCACTCTGTCACCCAGGCTGAAGTGCAGGGCAACAATCATGGCTCACTGCAGCCTTGACCTCCCAAGCTCAGGTGATTCTCCTGCCTCAGCGTCTCAGCTGGGACCACAGGCATGTGCCATCACACCTAATTTTTATTATTATTATTTGTAGAGACAGGGTCTCCCTATGTTGTCTGGGCTGGTCTCAAACTCCTAGGCTCAAGTGATCTCCCCACCTTGGCCTCCAAAAAGTGCTGAGATTATAGGTGTGAGCCACCACACCCAGCCAAACACCCACTTTTTAAACACTTTGATTAAATGCTTTTGCTTCTCTGTGTCTGCAGCCAAACGCTACACAAGAACCAAGGGAAACTGCCCAAATGAACTGAGGGAAACTTTTGCTCACTAGTTTCACTATTGTTGGTCCCACTTCCTACATTCTGATCCCTACTTTAAGCATTTAAACACATTACTTTCTCCTTAAACTCCTGCACCCAAAATATAAAATCCTGCTTAGCTGCAAGCAACTTAGATTTAACCTTATATCTTTCTCTACATGACTCCTCAGATCCATTTCTCCAATCCTCTTTTCTGTGTGTGTGTGCATGTGTGTGTGCATGTATGTGTGGTGTGGCGTGGTGTGGTGTGTGTAAATAGATACCAACTAGTTACTTTAACAGACTTCATACATAGTAATTTGCTTTTGCAGACAGGCTGTAGACCTAAATGTCAAGCATGTAAAATTGATAAAAGACAATGAGAGGCTGGGCGCAGTGGCTCATGCTGGTAATCCCAGCACTTTAAGAGGCCAAGGTTGGCAGATCACTTGAGGTCAAGAGTTTGAGACCAGCCTGGGCAACATGACGAAACCCCATCTCTACTAAAAGTACAAAAATTAGCTGGGTGTGGTGATGCACACCTCTAATCCTAGCTACTTAGGAGGCTGAGACAGGAGAATCACCTGAGCCTGGGAGGCAGAGGTTGCAGTGAGCCAAGACTGCACCACTGCACTCTAGCCTGGGTGACAGAGCGAGACTCCATCTCAAAAAAATAAAAACAAAGACAGCGAGAGACTGAGGAGCTATTCCAGATTTAAGGAAACTAAACAGATATGACAGGTTAGGAAAAAAATGCATAAATTTTATTAACAATTGTTGTTTAATCTCACCTTTGACTTACCTCTTTTAATATAGTAATACAGTTAATATATGTTTAATACATATATTTAATATAGTTAATACAAATACAAACATTAACAGTGTATGAGATATTAACATTAACATGAGGAGTACATTATCAACTTTGGGAAAATACTGAGAAACAAAGTTAAAATCGGTAGTAGCCTTAATGCCCTAAATACCTCAACACGATCCGGGCTCAGTGGCTTACACCTATAATCCCAGCACTTTAGGAGGCTGAGGCAAGTGGATCACCTGTGGTTGGGAATTCAAGACCAGCCTGGCCAACATGGTGAATCCCTGTCTCTACTAAAAATACAAAAATTAGTCACATATGGTGGCATGCACCTGTAATCCCAGCTACTCAGGAGGCTGAGGCAGGAGAATCATTTGAACTTGGAAGGTGGAGGTTGCAATGAGCAAAGATCATACCACTGCCCTCCAGCCTGGGCGACACAGTAAGACTCCGTCTCAAAAATGAAAAATAAACAAAAAAAAGGTAGGCCAGGCACAGTGGCTCACGCCTATAATTCAAGCACTTTGGGACACTGAGAAGGCCTGATCCCCTGAGGTCAGGAGTTCAAGATCAGCCTGGCCAACATGGCAAAACCCCATCTTCACTAGAAACACAAAAATTAGCCAGGCATGGTGGGCACCTGTCATCCCAGCTACTTGGAAGGCTGACGGAGAATTGCTTGAACCCAGGAGGTGGAGGTTATAGTAAGCCAAGATCGTGCCACTGCACTCCAGACTGGGCCAGCCTGTAGATACCTCTACATCTCTAAGTGGTTTACACAGCAGCCAAAAGTTCAGGGACAGAACAGAGTTTGGAAGTTGCTGCTCTAAAACATGGGTTCTATAACTTGAGTGCACTGAATCACCTGAAAAGCTTATTAAAAAACAGATTTCTGGGCCCCTCCACACCAGAATTCCTGATTCAGTAGTTATAGGACAAGGCCTCAGAATCTGTATTTCTAACAAGCTGTCAGTGTCCCTCCTCTACCAGGGACCACACTTTTGAGAACCATTGCTTTAAATCAATGTTGACTGTTAACCTGCCAGATTCCCAAGAACAGAGGAACAATTTGTATTTAACAACTATGTGTACCCTATTATGGCAACATGTTCAATACTGCATAGCTCATAATATGTAATAGAAAAAAACAAATGCAAAGGCTTCACAGGAGGTGAGGGACAATCTGAACTCTTCATTTAAGTTCTTATGACAAACTACTTTTTTTTTTTCCTTCAAAACCAGGTCTCACTCCATTGCTCAGGCTGGAATGCAGTGGTGTGATCTTGGCTCATTGCAACCTCTGCCTCCCGGGTCCTAGCAATTCTCCTATCTCAGTCTCCTGAGTAGCTGAGACTACAAACCACCATGCCTGGCTTTTTTTTTTTTTTTTTTTAGAGAAAGGGTTTCACCAGGCTGGTCTCAAACCCCTAACCTCAAGTGATCCGCCCACCTCAGCTTCCCAAAATGCTAGGATTACAGGCGTGAACCACCGCCTGGACACAAATCATTAAATTTGAAAGGAATTAAAAAAGCATGTAAAGGAGAATGAGAGATCAAGAGCCAAAATAAATCTAAAAACGAAATGTGGTAAACGGAGGAAGTAACCATTTGAATCCCTAATCACTACCTCCATTATCAATTCTCAGTGCCTAACCCAGTAATCCCATTCAATTAAACTTGTTGAGTACAATATAAATAACTTATTTATTCAGTGTCTTCTACCTCTCAAATTTTCAAGAAATCTGAAAAAAAAAAAAAAAAAAAAAAAAAACATAGAATACTTGGCTACATATATTTACTACTTCCATTTGATGAGAAAACAAAAAAAGGAGTGTAAATAGGGGAACGTAAGATTATGGGGGAATTGATGGAGGAGGTAAAACTATGACTTGCAATAAAAATATGTCTATACTGTGAAGTACCTTTCTTCTCTTGCTTCGGGGCTGTTCTGCGATGTAATTGCAGGTTCTTTTTTCTTTTCATCAAGGTCTTTTTCAGTTGATGGACCATCTGAAAATTATGAAATCTCTTAAGTTGCTAGCATTTGTAAAATAAAAACAACTAAAATACTGTATGTTAGCAGGCTATTTGCACAACAACATGAACAAAAATCCTAATTTTCCCACAAGCAGATGAAGTTTGTGTAAGCTATTAGCATATGTACTATTTTTCACAATGCAAGTTCAGTCAACACTCCCAAATAAATTTCCTCATTTGGTGGGAACTACAAATTCATATGCCAGGGGACCCTAAAGGCTAGAAAATATACGGAATGCAGAGATAGGAAGAATATGAAAATATCTGCAGTTACTTTAAAAATAAAAGCACAGGCCGGTACACTGGCTCACACCTGTACTGGCCTGTGCTTTGGGAGGCTGAGGCAGGTGGATCACTTGGGCTCATGAGTTTGAGACCAGCCTGGGCAACATGACAAAATGCTGTCTCTACAAAAAATACAAAAATTAGCCAGGCGTGGTGGTGCACACCTGTAGTCCCAGCTATTCAGGAGGCTGAGGTGGGAGAATGGCTTTTGCCCAGGAGGGGGAAGTTTCAGTGAGCCAAGATTGTGCCACTGCACGCCAGCCTGGGCGATGGAGCCAGACCCTGTCTCAAAATAAAGTAAAATAAAATAAAAATAAAAGCATAAAGCATTTACAGCAATATTGTTTTAATACTTTTTCATAAAGTTAGAAAATTTAAGGTGGTATCCAAAATATAAATAAATATTTCTGGGATGGCAAACAAAAAACACTTTCATAGAAAATACCTCAGGATAGTAAGACCTACCGAGCACCTTCTCTATCTTAAATGATCTCTAAAGTAATACAGAGTGCACAAGCTTTAAGACTTAAAGAGGTAAGCAATTAGGCATTATGCAATAATACACATAAAATAGGTTGAGTCAATGAAATAGTTTTCCATTTGAATCTCTGGCAGTGAGGCGCAAGCATCTTTATTTTTTGAAGTTCCTTAGACAACTTGAATATATAGTTATCTGGATGAGAATCACTGATAAGAGAATGGTTCAAATCACAACTATAGAACTCATCTTGTAAAGTTGAAGTTTGTCAAACCTAAAATACAATTCAAGCCCTCTGATAAAACATGTACATACACTTTTGTTTTCACATAATTTTACTGTCCTTGTTCTTCTCAGTAATTTACCTTGAAGGCCTCAAATCCCAAAGATGCTATAGCACTGTAACACTGAAAACAAAGATTAATAATGACACATGGCAAGGACTAGAAATGGTCCATAAGTGATAGGGTGGAATGCATTTAAAAGGGAAAACTGCTAGAACAACGAAATATGATCAGCAAGGATCCAATGCTGCCAAAGGGGCAGTAGAACTGCTCTTACACACTGCTCTGGCACAATAAATTAGTGCAATCCTTCTGGAAAGCAGAGCAGTAAGAGGCACGAACAGCCTTAAAAGCGTCCCTACTAGCCGATATGGTGCTGTGGGCAACGCGGCCCAGGCATCAGGGAAAGAAGTGCTCCAGCTCTGGACTCCAACTGCCTGCAGTCAAGTCCCAGCCGGCTATTCACCACCGACTCAACTGTGCACAAGGCACTGAAGCGCTCAGTGCCTCAGACTCTTCATCATAAAATGGGGATTATAACAGCATCTACTGCATTGGATTGCTTTTGAGGATTAAATGCACTGATACAGGTCAGTGCTTGGCATATCTTAAGTATTCAAAAATGTGCTCCCTGGTAGCAGTAGTAGTTAATGTGGAAATCTAGCTAACAATGTGAAGAAAAAGCTTTAGGCAGAAAGATGTCCATCAAGACATTAGTTACAACAGCCATTAAGTAAAAAACAATAATAAATCTAACAACAGGCAAGTGACCAACTAAAATATGGTATAGTCACCTGAATAAATTATTCTGAAACCAATAAAAATGAGTTATGATGGAAAAACAAAATATTTTCATTAAAAAAGTAAGGTAAATAAGTACACATACAGCATAAGTAAATTTATAGTAGGGACAAAATTTATGCAAACTAAATTTAACAGTAATGGATTATAATCCATTGTACAGAAAAATAATCTGCGAGTCTATGCTAACAGATAAATAGCTAAGGGGTAAAAAGAAGGTTGCTCTTATAACAGAATGATGATTTTATAAATATTGAAGCAGAGAAGTCAGAAAAATCACAATTTTGCAATGACCACTCTACCACTACAAAGATTAGTGTGAGCAAAAATCGATGGATCCTAAATTGGGAGGGGAGGGGGAAGGTCTGATAAGGTATAAGACAGTTTCAGGATATTTTTATTTTAATTTTTAAAAACTTTTTTTTTTTTTTTTTTTTTGTTTGAGACTGAGACTCTCTCTATTGTCAGGCTGGAGTGCAGTGGCACATTCTCAGCTCACTGCAACCTCTGCCTCCCAGGTTCAAGCAATTCTCCTGCCTCAGCCTCCCAAGTAACTGGGATTACAGGCGCACGCCACCACACCCAGCTAATTTTTGTATTTTTAGTAGAGATGGGGTTTCACCATGTTGGCCAGGATGGTCTTGATCTCTTGACCTCGTGATCCGCCTGCCTTGGCCTCCCAAAGTGCTGGGATTACATATGTGAGCCACCACGCCCGACCAGTTTCAGGATCTTAAAAGTGTCTCCCACAGAATGGCTATTAGCTACAAGAGAAAAAACAATACACTATACAGTGTAGCTTTGACTAGATTCTCAAAATTATCATCAATGACTCTGGATATGATACCTTGAGAAGGATGTAACATGCTTACATAGTATTCCAACTTCGGATGTACAACACGATCTAATCACAAGGAAAAAAAAGCAGGTACATCTCAATTACAGAATATGCTATTAAAAACAAAGGAGGGGCCAAACGTGATGGCTCACACCTGTAATCCTAACACTCTGGGAGGCCGAGGCAGGCGGATTGCTTGAGCCAGAGTCCGAGACCAGCCTGGAAAACATAATGAGACCTCGTCTCAAATAAATAAATAAATAAATAATAAATAAATAAATAAATAAATAAATAACGAAGGAGGGCAGTGGTGGAGGTCTGCAGTTCCAGCTACTCAGGAGTCTGAAGTGGAGGAATGCTTGAACCCAGGAGTTAGAGGATTAACCTAGGCAACATAGCAAGACCCCAATCTCTACACAAAACAAAAAAAGTGGTGGGGAAGGTGGTGGATAGAGAAATAAACTTGCTTCAAGGATCCAACTTAAAAATGTGGAGAAGTTCTGCCTTAAATATATCCTATTTTACTTTTAAACCAAAATCCAATTCTACTTTGCATTCGTTACATCTGGTAATTTTCTGCATACTGCTTAACTTATGCAAGTTCTATTTTTTTAAGCCCATTATCAATTAGATAAAAATCTGATTTGCAGGCTGGGCACAGTAGCTCACGCCTGTAATCCCAGCACTTTGGGAAGCCAAGGTGGAGGGGTAACCTGACATCAAGAGTTCGAGACCAGCCTGGCCAACACGGTGAAACCCCGTCTCTACTAAAAATACAAAAATCAGCTGGGTGTGGTGGCAGGTGCCTGTAATCCCAGCTACTCGAGAGGCTGAGGCAAGATAATCACTTGAACCTGGGAGGCAGAGTTTGCAGTGAGCAGAGATCATACTACTGCACTCCAGCCTGGACAACAAGAGCAAGACTTCATCTCAAAAAAAAAAAAAAAAAAAAAAAAAATTGATTTGCATGAAAGTAAATATTTAAAAATACACATTAGTGGTGATTACATGAATGTATACACAGGATAAAACTGCTCAGAAGGCTACATGCCCCACCACCACACACACACCCGACACATACACTAGCACCTGTAAAAACTGATGAAATCTGAGTAGGGTCTGTAGATTGTATTAATGTCAATTTCCTGGTTGAGATTCTGTATATGAGAGTTATGTAATACTACCATAGGAGGAAGCTAGATAAAGGGTACATGAGATCTTTCTGTACTTTTTTTTTTTTTTTTGGTAATTTTCTGTGAGCCACTTGTTATGTCAAATTAAAAAGTTAAACTCCACATATTCAGGAAGCACACATACTTTCTTCTATAGGAAATGAAGTTGTTTCTTTTAGCCTTACTTGAGGCAGGGGGCAAGGAATGAGGGGGAAGGGCAAGATATATACACAAATACACATAAAATTTTAAAGCATGGCCCACGACAACAATTTTTTTTTATTGGGTTTGTACAATTCACGTGAAGGACAAAATTGCCTCTAATTTTCTTTACTTCCAAATTTGACTTTTAGGAAATATATCAATAAAAAACTGACAGCCCCAAAATAAGATTTAGGGGGAGGGAATTCATATTTGTTGGGCTAGGACCCTATGGACAAGGACAGAGTACATTTCCTAGAGAGCGGATAACTGATAGTGAAAGATCACAGACCAAAAACAAAGAAAAAGTAAAATCATGAACCCAAGTAAACAGGTTGGTCTTCAAATGAGAAAGGAACATTTCTGCCTCAGGGGAAAAACAAAGGGGAAGGGGTGCCAGTATTCTTCAAAATGTCAATTTCATAAAAGATAAAGAAAGGCTTAAGAATGATTTCAAATTAGAAAACTAGCTGTGTGATCCTGAACTGGATATTTTCCTGGTGATAAAAAAAAATATATATATATATATATATATATAAAATCATTACTAGGACAATTGACAAACCTGAACGTAAACTATGACGCACTATACCAATGTTAAATTTCCTAAATTTTTAATACTATGATTCCATAAAAAAAAAAAAAAAGCGTGTAGTCAGGAAATACACACAAGTATTTAAAGGGTAAAAGAGCATGATATAGCCAACCTACTTTCACATGGTTCAGGAAAACAAATGGTTCAGAAAATGGTGAAAAACAACCTACTTTCAAGCTGTTAAGAAAAACAAATACAGCAAATATTAAAAAGTAATGATCTTGACAAAGAATACAGCATTCTTTTTACTATCCTTGCAAGTTTTCTGCAAGTCAAAAATTTCAAAAACCATTTCAAAAGGTATGCACAACCTTTCCTTTAAGAGAAAATTCTTCTTACCTAAAGAGTTTATCCAGTTGTGTCAGAGTTAGTTAAGAAAACCAAATCTGACTAGTCTAAAAGGCAAAAAAACAAAAAACAAACAAAAAAAAAAACCTTAAAGGTCATATTAAACCCCCTCACCTTTATTACGAGGCACTGATTTCAGTATATCTAGATTTAAAGAAAAAAATGTAAGCATTACCTAACTGTAAAATGTTAACCACTAACCATCTGAATAAATCACATCATCATAAATATATATAAGGAATGATCAATGATACCTAATAACTTTTTCCAGGATTTGATGAGAGACTTTGCCAAAGATGTAACTTCTTCATCTGTACTCTGCTTGCGAATAGCATTCACTGACATTCCGATTCTTGTGGACTGCAAGGCAATAAAAAAATTATTTATACTAACTTTATTTTAAACAAATTAGTATTTCACCCACATTTTCTTTCCCAGATTCCTGTTTCCATTTTAGAATTTTAAAACTTCAATTATTTGGATCCTTATAATAGCAAACTATATTCTTAAGATACATATATCTTCAGATGAAACACTAGACTCATAAATGTTCTTATCACCAAGATCTAGAAACATAAAATTCCCTACTGTAATAAGTCTGGTTAACCAGAAAATTGAAGTTAGTTTTTCCACAAAGGAGAAGTGAAGATAAATGAGGATAAAATATATAAGTCAGGCTGAAGTAATCATGACTAATATATGTATTGCTTTGTTTCTATACATTCTATATGGATTACTTCATAGAGCACCAGTTGCAAATTATGAAGATATCCAAACAAAAACTACCACCTATGGAGTTTTAAAAGGCTTTATTTTTTTATTTTTTATTTTTGCTGGGAATCAGAATATAATCACAGACATTAAAATGGACTTCACTAAATATAGGTAGAATTTAACCTGCGATGATTCTACATGCCTAGAATTATACTTAGAGCATCCACATTCATCAATCTTTCTAACGACCCTTCAAAGTTGAGATTATCCCTATTTTTAAAGATGAAGAGATTAGAAGTACCAATAAATAATGTACCTAGCATCATACCACTACTAACCGGCAAAGCTGGGATTTTTTTTTTTTGACATGGAGTCTCACTCTGTAGGTCAGGCTGGAATGCAGTAGTAGCACAATTTTGGCTCACTGCAACCTGTGCTCCCGAGTTCAAGTGATTCTCCTGCCTCAGCCTCCCAAGTAGTTGGGATTACAGGCACAGATCACCTTGCCTGCCTAATTTTTGTATTTTTAGTAGAGACAGGGTTGCACCACGTTGGCCGGGCTGATCTCGAACTCTAGACTTCAGATGATCCACCCACCTCGGCCTCCCAAAGTGCTGGGATTACAGGTGTGAGTAGCTGGCCCAGCCAAAAGCTGGGATTTTAGTCCAGGTTTGTCCACTGCCAAAGTCCATGGTCTTTCTAGCACATCACTGATTTCAAACAGTGCTCAAAGAACACAAAAGTTATGATAGCATAAGTATGGATGATAAATAAAAAATACTGTAGTAAATTAGTAAGTTCAGGTGTTAGCAGACAATCTTTCAAATATATGATTTGTGGAAGAAAAAATAACGAAAGGAATTCTTAGTTGTGAAAAAAAGAAGAGAACCCTTGCTATAAGCTTTATGGCAGAAAAATACTTGGGTACTTAAGGTTTCCTTCTAAATTATTCAATCCTCTCAACAAAGAGACAGACTCAGGATCTAAGTTATGTTCAAGAATTTAGAATATGTGGTTGACTGGAGTGTCCTGTATCTCTTAGAAAGCTGAGCAAGGCAGGTAAGATTGAACAGCAGAAAGACAAAGGGACTCCACAATTTTAAAGCCCCAAACAATTTGGGGTTAACAAGGCTAGTTTTCTAGGAAGACAGTGTAGTTCTGAAGCTTAGAACTGACACAAATTTGCAAAAAAAAAAAAAATTGGCATTTTAGTAGGGGCTTGTAGGAGAGCAAAGGTATAAGGAGATAACGAATAAATTGTGTACTGCTGGGTGACTACTTTTTAATTTTCAGAGGATGTTTTGATTACTAAAAAGTCAATGATTATCCCACTTGGCTGCAAATAAAACCCATAATAAGAATATAGCTATTTGTAATAAACATGCTTATCTAAGAAAGAGACTGTCAAGTCAAAATAATAAGAAATGAGGCTGCCGAGGTAGAATGAAAAACAAAGATTTGAAATAAGTTTTTTTTTCCTTTGGGGGTACTATGGAAAAAAAAAAAAAAAAGTTGACAGGGGAAAAGATTATGAAGCTATTTACTTGGATAAGTCTAGAGTTGCCACTAAGAATTCCCTAGGGATTTTTCCTAAAATTGGTATGCTATGACATACAGGATGTATTAGGCAGGTTATTAGAAAATACTCTGTTCGCAAGTGACCTTAGGAATTGTTGGATGAAAACTGTTTTCTTGACTGCAGGACTAATGAAAGCTTTCAAGACAAACTATACATTGTGAAACTCTAGCAGATAAAACATGTGTCTTTGCCCATGATTTCTACAGAACATCAGGTATACAGAAAGAAAGACATTACCTTGGAAAGGTGGAGAATACATTAAGCAGCCTTAGGGGTCAGCTGCACACTGATGGTAAAGCAGAAAGGAATGAGTACTGAGATCAAGAGACACTGTTAACATCACAGGAAACAAGCAGATTTGGTGTGCTCCAGAAGAAAAGTCTCCTTCGTGACCACTCATGAGTTTTTGCCAAGATGATCTGAAGGTAGCCACTAAATCTTAAGGTAAAAAACACATAGCTACTATATAGCTACTATAAAACACATATGTAAAACATACATTAAAAACACAACACGCACATATATAAAAGACAAGATAAAGAAACACACAGCTACTATAAAACATTGTTGAAAGAAATTAAAGATGACCTAAACAAAATTTTAAAATCCCATGTTGATAGACTGGAAGACTTAAATGTTAAGATTGCAATACTAATCAAATTGAACTACTGACTCAATGCAATGTCTATCAGAATCCCATCTGCCTTTAGTGCAGAAATCGACAAGCTTACCCTGAAGTCCATACAGAAATGTATATGACCCAAAATAGCAAAAACCATCTTGAAAAAGAAGAACAAAGTTGGAACACTCACAATTCCCTACAGTAACCAAGATAGCACAGTACTGGCAACAGGATGGGCATGCTGATCAATGGGATAAATTTAAGACTCCAGAAATAAACTCCAACATTTTTCATCAACTGATTTTAGATAAGGATATCAACGCAATTCACTGAAGTAAAGAATACCCTTTCAACAAATGGTGCTGGAACAACTAGATATCCACATGTAAAAGAATAGAACTGCCAGGCATGGTGGCTCATGCCTGTGGTCCCAGCACTTTGGGAGGCCAAGATGGGTGGATGACCTGAGGTCAGGAGTTTGAGACCAGCCTGGCCAACATGGTGAAATGCAATTTCTACTAAAAATACAAAAATTAGCCAGCACAGTGGTGCATGCCTGTAATCCCAGCTACTCGGGAGGCTGAGGCATGAGAATAACTTGAACCTAGGAGGTGGAGGTTGCAGTGAGCTGAGATCACACCACTGCACTCCAGCCTGGGTGACAGAGCGAAAAAAAAGAATAAAGCTGAACCTCTTCCTTACACCACACACAGAAATTAACTCGATATGAGCAGGAGTAAAGCTTCATGACCTTGGATTAGGCAATAGTTTCTTAAATATGACACCAAAGGCACAAGCAATCAAAGAAAAATAGGTTACATCAAAATTTAAAACATTGTGCTTCAAATAACTTCATCAAGAAAGTAAAAAGATAATTCACAGGAAAAGAGACAATATTTGCAAACTCTGTATCTGATAAGGGACTTGTATCTGGAATATATAAAGAATTATTACAACTCAGTAAAAAATGGGCAACCCACTTTAAAAATGGGCAAAGGATGCGGATAGACATTTCTCCAAATAAGATATAAAAATAACCAACAAGCACATGAAAAGATGTTCAACATCCTTAGACATTATGGAAATAGAAATTAAAGCTACAGGCCGGGCACAGTGGCTCGGGCCTGTAATCCCAGCACTTTTGGAGGCCAAAGCAGGAGGATCACGTGGTCAGGAGATCGAGACCATCCTGGCTAACATAGTGAAACCCCGTCTCTTTTAAAAATACAAAAAAATTAGCTGGATGTGGAGGTACGTGCCTGTAGTCCTAGCTACTCAGAAGGGTAAAGCAGGAGACTCTCTTGAACCCAGGAGGCAGAGGCTGCAGTGAGCCGAGATAGCGCCACTGCACTCCAGTGTGGGTGACAGAGTGAGACTCTGTCTCAAAAAAAAAAAAAAAAAAAAAGAAATTAAAACTACAATGAAATACCACTATACCCACTAGAATGGTTATAATCAAAGACAAACAGCAACAAGTGTTCAAGTGTTTGCAAGGATGCAGAGAAACTGGACCCCTCATTTACTACTACTGGGGATAGAAAATGGTACCGTGGTTTGGGAAAAGAGTCTGGCAGGTCATCAAAATGTTAAACACGGAGTTACCATATAAACCAGCAATACCACTCCTAGGTATCTACACAAGAACAACAAAAACATATGCTCACACAAACTTGTACATAAACATGCATAGCACTGTGATGTATAACAGCCAAAAAAGTCTAAGCCCAACTATCCATCAACTGACAAATGGATCAACAACATGTGGAATATCCATGCAACTGAATATTACTCAGCCATAAAAAGGACTGAAAATTCTGACACAAACGGCAACACGGATGAGCCCTGAAAACATTAAGTGACAGAAACCAGACATCAAAGATCACACACATACTGTATGACTCCATTTATATGAAAACTCCAGAACACGCAAATCATCTATAGAGACAGAAAGATTCATGGTTGCCTAGGCTGGAAGGAGGAAGCAGTTAGGGCAAATGGAGAATGACTGCTAAAGGGTATGCCATTGCTTTTTGGGATGATGAAAATGTTCTAAAGTTAACTGTGGTGACAGTAGCAGAATATATTAAAAAACAATGAATAATACACTTTAAATGAATGAATTGTATGGTATGTGAATTATATCTCAAAAATACTGTTTTTAAAAAAAGAAACATAAAACGGGTCGGGCGCGGTGGCTCAAGCCTGTAATCCCAGCACTTTGGGAGGCCGAGGCGGGTGGATCACGATGTCAAGAGATAGAGACCATCCTGGTCAACATGGTGAAACCCCGTCTCTATTAAAAATACAAAAAATCAGCTGGGCATGGTGACACGTGCCTATAATCCCAGCTACTCAGGAGGCTGAGGCAGGAGAATTGCCTGAACCCAGGAGGCGGAGGTTGTAGTGAGCTGGGATCGCGCCATTGCATTCCAGCCTGGGTAACAA